GAAGGAAGGAAAGAAGGAAGGAAAGAAGGAAGGAAAGAAGGAAGGAAGACTACAATTACTGCAAAAGGATTAAAAATATATGCCAACTCATTACCAGTCTTTTTCAGGTTTATTTCCAGATTGCAGTTCAAAAATCACATTGTAAAAAGGTAGATTCTTGCATTTATATTTGACTGGGAATTTGGTATGATGTTGAACACCACTGCTATCACTGGCTTCAAAAAAGACCATTAATGTTATGAAACCTCTCTGCAAGAGCATGTTGCGTGTTTGGTTAAAAATACAGTGGTTTTTCTTGTTTCTGCAAGAGGGGAATTAGCCCTACAGTTTTTGTTCCTTCAAAGTAAGATAAGTTAGCATTTTCAGATAGACCATCCAGTCAGACAGGGATGAACAGTACATGGTTTAAAAAAAAAAAAAAAAAAAACATTTATAGTCTAACAAAAACCTTTACAAAAGCTTATGACAGAGATAGAGAATACACCTTCAGTTCTCAACATCTTGTGAAAAAGTAAATTAATTTGAAATTAACTCAAAACATACATTACAGAAATTCTGCACTGCCCTTCCTCATTTGTTGCTTAGAAAGGATATTCCTGCAATTACTATCCAGAATCCTCTACTATGAGGACTCCTTATTTTTTTGGGTAAATCATTTTTGACAACAAACATCCATTGCCTTCCTGTTAACCAGCAAGAGTCCTCAATGCCCAGGAAGATAAAAGTGGCATCTGAATGTGGCATAGGCTTCATACTGGCCATTCTCATGCAAAATCAGTAACAAGTTTTGTATACCATATTAAAGCAGCATATCAGGACCATTCTAGATTTGGGGAGATTTCCATGAAAAATAAAGTGGTAAAGATCAAAATCCATAAAAACATCTATATCTCAGTTAACACAGAGATGTTATACTGCTGTGAGGACAGATATGGAACACCATCAAAATTCCAATCTTTTAGGTCTTCCCTTACAAAATGCAGTTCTGTGCACAAGCTGACAGACCTGTTTTGCTTTTTTTCTGAAGTTTATCAGTATAACCTGTGCATTCATACCCAACATCTTCCTAAGTACAAAACTCTAAAAATAAATAAAGTTGCTACAATAGCGTTAAAATAGGAAAAACAAACAAACAAACAACAAACCAACATGATGTAGGATACCAAATTCTGTATGCATGCATTTTGAATCCATTTAGTTGCTCTTTACAGAATACATTTACATCATGTTGTGCATTTTGAGAAATGCAATTTTTCAATTAACTTTGAGAAGCACTGGTTTTCACTGTATTTCCAAAGAAAACAAACATTTTAAGTATAAATCAGAAGACAACCATGATACCTTGCCTTAGCAAGGAGTCTGCTTCCAATGAAATTAAATCTTCACTTTCCATTAAGGTTTTTTTCATGTTCTTCTTCTTCTTCCCAGTGAATTGGAATACATACATTTTAATTTGATTATACCAAAACTTGCTCATATTAAAGTTGTACTGTGAAATGACTTCACCATAGTTAGACTCCACTGAGTGTGATGAGCCAAGAACTTGTCACATTCTGAATATAACATACATGGAATATGCTATCTATATATAATCACTAGGAGGATAATCTCTGAGCAGATTTTCTCTGGTAAATCTTGTTGCTACCAGGGCTGCTTGACTTGGTAAAAGGACAATATACACAGCAGGTAGGGTGGTCACACACAAAAGCTCCTCACTCTCACCAAAAGAAAGATACAAGCATTTAATCAAAATTTCTTACCCTGATTTTATTTCTGCAGGTGGAGAAATTTCAGTGGTGTTAAAATCAGGGAGCATTTGGATATCCACAATGAAGAATTGCACTGTTGGATTTTTAGCTCCTGCCTAAAATAAAATGTTTCATTGTAATTTCAAAGAAAGAATATTCCTGGGGGAAAAAAATAAAGACTGAAATTATAGATGAAGAAATCACTGCAGACAGGTATAACCAGCTACCTTCAGACACATGAGAAGACAAGTTCCTAAATGCAATTCTTCGGATTGATACATAAATTACCTTTAAAAAGCATTAGCTATGTATTTCTAGATATGAAAGGCTACATGTATAAACATCCATAGGCTTTCCTCTACCCGCAGCAGTATTTGACTGCATCTTGCCTCAGGTGCTACACGCTATCTAGGAGTGAATCAAATACAGGGAGAAAAGTATAAATATTCTAAATACTCTAACAGGGAGAAAAGTGATTCTTCATGGAAACGAACACCTTGCCTTAAATGATTGTATAACAGCTGCCTATAATGTAATCAAAGCTGTGGCTGCCACATGGACTCCATTGTTTTTAAATGTAGCACTGGTATGTACTAACAGCAAAATTGCCAGACTGGCATAGGGGGAGATACGTATATATGTCTGTCCAACACAGAATATGAAAACCAAAACAGTGAACAAAAAGATGGGCTTAAGCTGGTTTCAGACTACATATTACTTCAAGGCAAACGGGATGACCAGCATTCCAGCAGTGAACTTCTTATAGAGACCAGTAATAAGAATGCCATTTATATTGTGATTCAGAGGTACAGTGCAATTGTTGTACTCAAAGTGTAATTTGTACTTAAATTTGTCTTACATCTATTGCTGTATCACTCTACTAAATCAAAATCACAGGTAGATTCAAATAACTTAAATAGTTAAATCTAGGGAAAACATGGAATAAACATTTAATCCTCCCTATGTGGAATGTTTGAAAGGACCTGTTGGCAGCATGCTGTACTCCAACATTCACACCATTTATCCCAGTGCCAACAGTGCCACGAGCAGTGGGCACACGGTCATGTGGAGGGAAGAAGGATCTGCATGCACTGAAGTTCTCACTTACAGCAAAAACTGAAAGAGCTTCAGGGTGGACAAAGAAATTATGTCAGTATTTTCTTCCTCTTCCCAACACAGGAAGCACCCAACAACTAAGAATTACTCGACTGTTTGAAGAAGATTCCATTTACACAAACACAATACAGTGCACAAGCCTAACACAATGTGCGTATGCCAAATGCATTTACTAAAAGGCTCTTTTTATCTCAACGTCTACTTGTCACCTCTCAAAACTTCTGTGATGAAAAAGAAAAACTTTTTTTTTTCTTTCCTTACCCCTAGAGATAATAAATACTTTAACATTGCCAGATGCTGTTGATTTCAGAAAGGGTAATCACAGCAAGCTGTTGAGGAGAGACAGACAATATTTTCATTAGCAGAAACTGATTAAATGAGACTACTCCCTTAATGAAACTGCAGAATAAACATGTTAAATAAATAACACAGACCTTGGGATAAGGGATTCTAATGGTCTTAGGATACTGCAAGGTGTCTTCAGAATAAAAGGAATACTCGACAACAGGAACTTCTGTATCATTAAATGCTGCATATGCCACAAAATTGCCATTTGGAGACCACCACAGAGCAGAATGGCTGCTAAACATTTCCTCTGAAAGAGATGCAAAAGCATTTAATTTATAATTGATAAATTGGCTCTTATATCTGAAGTAATATTCTTATTAAATTTTTAATAAGTTTTTTTTTTTTTTTTTAAAAAAATTGAAGTTAATATAGCAAAGCAGAGAGTGCTTACTGGAGTTCTGAAATGAGAGAAAGATTGGTGCTCATGATCTATCACACGAAGCTAAAACTAATTTCTGTTCCTAGATACCTACACTGACCAGGCATAAAGCCCAGACAGTGATAAATGCTTCTGCTAAAAATGCAGATCTGCATTAATTTTGAATTTTTCAGTGTAATAGATAAAGCAATTTTAATAAAATCAATATTAAAAAAAAAAAACAACAACAACAAATTTTTACATTGAAATGCAAAGAAAAATGTGCTTGATGTACTTACCTTCATAAACCCAATCTGGTATTCCATTGAAAATTTTATTTTCTTCTCCACTGCTAGTGATTTGCACAGGTGCTGCTGTTGGTGAAGCTTTTATATAAATATTATTATTCCAAACATATGCCTGCAAAATATTATTATGATGACTATTAGAGTAAATCCTATTTCCTCTCTATGCCATATTTAGTGACCTATTTACATTTACTACTGATGACAAAAGTTGTCCTTTAAATTTGCATTTGTCCAAACTTCATTGATACTTATACATGAATTATTAATACAAATCAAGAGTAACAAACTGAACTTAAGCTGAGATGCCAAAAAATAAAAAATAAAAAATAAAAATCCAACCCTCAGAACAGTTGTTTTAAATGACATTATTATTGCATCAAGAAAAGCTTGCCATTAATTTTCCTTTGAAATACAAGTTTATTTTTGGAGTTGGTTTTTTTTTTTACTCATTTGTCCCTCAAGGAAAATCGAGAATATTTTGGTAAAACCTTGATAAATGTATTGATGTTGCTAACAGATCTCCAAAGATAATGTATTTCTGAGTAAAATGTCTTTGTTTTTTTTCCCCTTAGCGACTGAATAGCACATTCTTATTCCAGAGCTTCTCTCTGAGATGCAGCAATTTCTTTTCAACATCCTTTGCATCTATTGCTGGGCTCCATAATCCATGACAAGGAATAAGAATACTTAAACACCATATACTACTGTGATTGCTCTTTAGGTCAGATCCAGAACAGCCTTGCAAACACAGTAGCTATCAAAGCTGTCATAGATTAGGGAGGAGAAAAGGAAAATAAGGACAATATGAAAGAGCACACAAGATGATTTTGTTCCTCTAATCCCTGTTAAAGTCATCCTTAAATAAAACTTCATTGTTCTTATTAAGAGATAAAAACCACAGTGGTGAATGTATAGACAGCTGTAATGACATTGCAAAGATATGTTGATTTGAAAGAGATGAGCTACTGTTTGCTACTGTAAAAATACTAAGTTCCTGTGCAAAATACTGGGACCATACTGCTTTCAGGAATGTCTTTTCAGCAAAGAACAGAACATGACATAGAGGAAAGTTTGAGTATTTCCAACAGCCATTTTGAAAACTATGTTCAGGTATTTTACCTGGAAGTAGGAAAGCCCCAAACCCCTAGGACATAGTTTATGTGAGCTACTCTGTCATGGCTACAGAAGAGGCTGTATAAGTTTAGATTATCTTTACTAACCAGTTTGTGACCAACGGGTGACCAGGATATATATTGCGTGTCATTAGGTAGCAGTGCATCATCTAAGATGGCTCTGGAAATAAAGAAACAAGATACAAATAAAACAAATCAGTAAAATGCCACTTCATTGCAAATACTATTAAAATTACATCTTGTGCAAAATTTACTAACCTTGCATTGAAATCATAGATGTGATATGAAGCTGTGTAGGAATGCCTCCACAACTGCAAGAGAATTAGTTCAATATTAAGAAAACAAAAATCTCTTACAGCTTCAATTACCACTGAAACTTCTGAAATCCTCCTCATACTTTCACTTGAGATAGATGTAACACAATGAACCTATAAGGGCAGCAATTCTCTGTATGGTTTAAAGGAAAACTGAAGAAACACTGTCCTTCTGTAGTCATCACTTAGTTACTATGACAGAAGCCGATCACTGATCAAGGACAGAGATACAGAGGCCAGAAATTCTGCAGATTTTCAGAAATTCTTGAAACTTTATGGCAAGACTATCACAGCTATGTACAGTTAATCCTCCTCCTTCTGCCTTACTGGCACAACTGTTTTCTGCCTCCTTTTCCATGGTGTATTGTTTAACTTGGCATTCTATTTTTCAGTAGTGCTCTCAAGTTCCAGCACTGTTTCTGTAGCAGTTCCTCTAGTTCCAGGATTCATATTCTCACCCATATTGTCAGAGAAATAAAACTTATTTCTCAGAAACCTTCCTCTTGAAACCTATACCACTGTGGGCATTTCTTGAGAGAAATATGTCATTTAGATTTAGATGAGGAGCTGAAGAAGTTTGTTTTAATTCATGGTGTTGATATGTTACAACAGTGTTACCTTCTATGGTAGTTCTTGAAGATTTGTATGAAAATATGAGGATATAAAACAATATCTTAGTACTACACAACCAGATGGTTGTTATATAAGAAGCATCCACATCTTTGTGATTCATTTTGTTACTGTTTTTGTTTTTTTTTTTTGTGATTAAGATTAATAACAACATAACTTTCAATCATACTACTATATAAAGGTTAAAAGACTGTTTCAGCATTAAAGTTAAATTTTATGACTACAGCAAATAAAATAGCATAGAATAATAAATCACAAGTGGAGGGGATGTCTAGGGTAGCTGGAAAAGTATAAGACTTTTAATCACCACTAATAATGCAGGAAAAAGAATCAATTCTGAACAATTTAGAAAGACAGAAAGTAAATGGCCTAGCTGCACTCAGCAAAGAAGCTGAAACTGTAGAAAAGTGGTGACTGACTTGTGGTGACTGGACTGCAGCTGTTAACACTGAGACAGGTGTTCTTGGATTGCTTTGCCAGAACATGTAGAGGGAGCTCAGTAACATAGCCTTTAAGTATTTGTACACAGAGCCTTTTACAAACAAAACATGCAGATCTCTCCAGTAATAAAAACAAAAAGGAATAAAAAAACCAATGAAATTACTAGCTCCTCAGTGCACACTCTGCAGGACAAGTTATCACCTCTATTAGGTTTCTGTTCTCTCCTCTGGAGGCACACAGGTCCAGGGATTCTTGCCAACTGACATACATGCGAGTTGACCTTTGTTACTTTATTCAGCACCAAGCCAAGATGATACACTTACGCTGGGGGCTTTCCAAATACTTCCAAATAGAGCAGCAAACTAGGACACCTGAGCCCACACCATGTGCAAGAGGATAGCCTATAACCACACAGGACTTTTCTTTCACCTCAGTTTTCAAATCCTGTGTCCTAAAACCTCAGGCTTGCTGCTACAATGCTGTCAGTGTAACACGCTCATACATACATACATACCATATATATACAAGCATATGCATACATCTGTTCTCACTCACACAACCCCTTGGATGTCACACCCATCTACTCTTCTAGTTCATCTTTCTGGTTAACCCTCCAGCTTCACTCCCCTTGTAGTATCTTTCCAATCACTAAGTTTTAATTTAGCTACTTCATTCAGTCATAGAATTATAGAACACCCTTCTATAATATAAATACCCTTCTCTTGTAGTTTCCAAGCCTGATGCCTTTACTCAACTCCACTCAACACGGTAATCTTTCCTCCTCCTCCTCCTCCTGTCTGTTAAGACTTCAGTGTTACTATACAGATATCCATCTTATTCTTCTAAATAATTCTCTCAAAATCTTTCAGCCTCTGCAATCTCTACTTGCAACTCTCAGCATCTTCTTGCTCAATTATTTCCAAACCTTTACTTCCCAGTTTCATTCTCAAAAAATTAAGTGCATTTGTACCTTTTCATACTTGTACTGCAGAAGAGCAAACCTCTGGTCAGGGGACAATATAGCTGTTGTTGCCTCATATGTGCTCTGTCAGTAAGAGGCAAAGAGAACATGTTAAGCACTAATTCCAGAGAAATGTTCAGGAAGAAAAGGTATTAAATATAAAATCTTCCTCTAAGATTGCACAAATTATATATAAGTCAACGTACTAATGTTGTATTTAACAAGACTACTGAGGATGTTCCAGTTTCAGCATCGAAACGTAGAATGTTCCCATTAGGTGTTTCATGTAGATATTGATTTCCTAAAAGAGCAAGAGAGATGCCAATAAACAATAAGTAAAATGCACATCACTCACTTCTTTCTCCCCTATTTCTTGAAGCAGGAAATAAAATTAAAATTCTGGTCAATATTCTGTTTCCAGCTTTTGTAATTAAAGGATGCTTATAGCACTGTTAACAAAATTGGGCTCACATCTTCAACTTTCTGGGACCTTTTTCTCTTGGGGTACTTTTAGCAATAGGAGAACATATTTTGCCACAAGCACTAACACATATCTACAGAAAAGAATTCACAGCTCTTTGAGCCCTGCACCGTTTTGTAATAAGACTATTTAAGCATCTAATGTATTTTCAGGATATATTAGTATCTCTGAGTATTGTGTATTTATAGTAGTACATTTTTTTAATACACATGCTAAGTGTAAAAATAAATTACCTGAAATCCATTGCAAATTATGTGTTTTGTACACATAGTCATCGTTCAAGTAATTCTCTAGGGTATATGTTCTTCGTGAATCAGACTCAGGGGTACTTTCTGGAAGAAAGAAAAAGAAGAGAGATTTTGATGCTGATACAACATTTTCCACCACATCTTAATAGTCAGGCTAAGAAGCTAAGTGTCTTTTGCTACTGGCAACTAATGTGCTTTAGCTAACCAGCTATGAACTGCCAGCAGGGAGAAAGCACAAAAAAATCCAACAGTCAGAAAGGAAAAGGATCACAGTGCTACCCGGCTTTCCACTAAGTTATCAAAGTATCATAATGTCTGCTTTGACATTAGTGTTTTGACTGCAAAATTAAAACCAAGTACCTGATCTGCTATGAAAGGACTAAGTGAAACTGAACCCAGCTAAACTTAGGAGATTTGTCAACAACTGTGTGACACAGCCAACATCTATGAAAATATTTCTGTTTTACAGTGCCCTAGCAACTTTTTCCAAGATATAAAAGGTTTCAAAAGTACATTGTACATTTATACACACATAAACATATATATTGAAATTGAGATGTGCAATTCTCTCCCTGATTTCCTTCTGCCTTTTTAAAATAAACAAGGCAACACCAAAAACCACCCTCATATAACCTACACATTCAAGAAGGAAAGCAGTTTTTATTTCAACTTGTATTACCTTTTTTCTTTTTTCTTTTTTCCCCTTTTTTCCCCCCCCAGTTATTAGCAGAACAAATCAAAAAATCCGGGATAAAAACAATTGATAAAAACAATCCAACACAGGTGTTTAGACTGATCAGTTGGGATGATAACCCACCACCATCAATTCTGAGTTTTCCAGTCTGTTCAGATACTTTTAAACAGACAGCCTCTTTTAATATGCAGAAGAAGAAAAAGAGTACAAGGGAGTGAGAACAAAAAAAGCCCACCTCACAAGATTGCTGTGGGGAATCTTTCTGCAAGTTGAAAAAGTGTGACATATGGAACATGACAGGAAGACATTTATATTAGCTACTATGGTTTTACTCTTATTTCCAAACAATAAGTACGTTACTTATATACAGCACAGCCTGGAGAGCCATTGCTGCAGTGAAAGTCAAGAGCCTTAACAGCCAAAGCTTTTAGTCTAACAAAGATTAAGACAATTACTTGCTCATTTCCATCTGAGATTTGGCTATTCTGAAAAGTGTCACAAGTCTAGATATTTCACTTGTTAAGTTTCCACGAGAATATTAACTTCTCAGGTTAATTATTTTATATTAACTGAATATTTAATTTGATGGATTATAAACAAGTGTGTATTTGATATTCATGCACAGTTGTCTAGTTGGGAATATCACTTCTCTTCTTCCTAATTGAGTAAGTGTCACTTTCAATTAGAGGGACTTCAGAAAGCAATGAAATTCTCTCTTGGAAAAGGAGGAGCAATTTAAGACAGGTGGCTGTTGAACAGGTTTAGGGATTTTTCCAAACTGCTGAATGTTTTTCCTCCCTGGTGACATCCATATTTTGCTAAGGTCTCATTACTAAAAATCAGGCCACCATTAAGATTTTTTGGCTGTGTGTAAAATTAAAATTTCATTTTCTGTCAACACCTTCCACATAGTAACTGAATATGAAAAGCCAAGCTGTACGGGTATAGTCATCAAAGTTTTAGTTGGAATATTTTCTTAGTTTGTGAGATAGAGCACTACGGCTATGTTTTTACTGCATGTATCTTATTCTGCATTTTGCTTCTTTTGGTTTAGACTCCATTTAAAACAAAAAACGAACAACAACAACAACAAAACACGTTGTACCCCCCCAAAAAAAGCATCAACTGGGCTTTTTACAAAATGAATTACTCGTTGACATTCAAAAACATTTATATATATATATATATTCTTCTTTCTCTCTTCCTCAAAGAGATTGTGAAACCTGAATTTTCTCTCATCTCTATTTTTTTTTCTATTTTTCTTTCTTTCCAGACAGGGACTGTTTTTCTAAATTCCAAATGACTTGTTTTCTATCTACCCTTAAAACTCCCCCTGAGCAGTACATGCATATTTACCCACTGTCATAGTGATATATTAGAAATATGTACATCTTAATACCTGTTACAATAACAAAAATTTAGAGTAAAACATTCTAGAGAGAAGGCTATTAACCATTTATGTAAGGAATGTTCATACAAAGTTGATAAATAGTATTCTTTCAATTTTGGTGTTTTTCTTAGTTTTTTTGTTTGTTTGTTTTTTGTTTTGTAAACATGTATCTTCTCAAAGTTTGTTTCTGTAGGTGTAAGGAGTAAAGGAAATAAAAATTCAACTGCTGTGTGAAGTTTGTGCCATGACAAATCATAACATCCAAAATTAAAACTGTTAAAATTACTTTTGGTGAATGCATTGTTTAAATTTCTATATGCAATGCAAAAGAGCAGGAAAGGATGTAATCAGCCCAAAAGCAAAGGAAACCTGTAAAGCTACTAATAACAGAAACTTTATTACACCTTCAGAAGAGAAGCCTGATCCAAGAGAATACCAGCAGGTAAAAACAGTGACATCAGCCAGGGCAGTTCACCCAGCTGTCACCAAGGCTGCGGAGACTTCCCCAGAGAGAGGCAATCATTAACTTTGTACTTAATAGCTCTGGCAGCTCTCTCCAAGTTGCCACATCTCGTGCAAACTAAGGAAATAGAAGTGTTCTAGACATAGCAACCAACTGTTGGTAAATTTGTTTCTATGCATTACTCAGCATTTGAATTAAAGTAGATAATTCAGTTAAATGACAGCTAAAGAAAGCCAAAGACACATAGCTGGAAAACATTTCTATTCTTTGTCTTCACTAGGTAGAATAGCCACATGCATCACTGAGAATATGGATTCTGCAATGCAGTTCAAGATGCATGAAAAAAAATGGAGAGACAAACAGTTACGGCAGTCGTATTCAAATGAAAAGAGCGTTTTCTCAGACAAGTACACAGTATATTTTCAATGGCCTGATTAATCTACTGTATCTCCCTTGCAACTTTTTAGAGAATTTCATCCATGACTTTGAGTAAAGAAATGTAAAGTGAAGTTTGTAGAATTAACTACCATTCACAGGTTATACATTGTCCTTCTAAGTACATACAAAATAAGATTCTCATCTAAACCTTAATTTTTTAACCCAGACTCACGGAGATTGTACTTCAAAGGTACAATTCTAATCCATAGATTAAAATTCACTTAGATATTTTCTTGCTTCCTCACTAAACATCCTTAAGCCGAACGCCTTCCAAAAACTGTGGTAATAAAATATTTCCTATTCCCAAGAAAACTGGCACAGATTACAGCTGCCAGATTCATTCATCTTGTGGCATAGGTCTTCAAATATGAGAGCTGCATATCAGCCAGACACCTTCATATTTTTAAGCATCCTTTTCAGTTGCAAGCAAGGTGTTGACATAGGCAATAGATACTCCTCCACACCATCCAGTTACAAATCTGCTTAGCACAGGACAGATCACAGATAGGATAAACAGGATAAGTGTTGATATGTAACCATTCCCAAAGGAACAATGAGAGCTATTTGGAGGCTTTCATTTCATCTTCTTTTCAGTTACACATTAACAAAACTGTCAGGAAGATATGCAACCTCATCTCTTTTGAGTCCTTGAACCAAGAAGCTGTCTCAGCAAACCCAATGACCTTCATTATGAAATCCCGGATGACAAAAAGTCATTGGACTTTTGCAGCCAATAACCCTTATCTCTATTTGTGTTAGCTTTTTCCCAGCCACTAGTAATACCTAACTCATCAGTCAGGTGTCAAACTCATCAAGTCCTCTCAGGCACCTCAGGGTTATTAACCTTCCCAGAACCTGCTGTGCTTTACCAACCAAAGGAGCGGGCACGTTACTTTTAACAGAGCACAGGAGACAAGCACATTATCACCTAACAATTACATTTCACCTCATTTTGTCAATATTTTACCCTTGGGGAGTTAAATCTCCAGTACAGGAACATGGTTTTAGACTAGACTGTTGTACAGCTCTCCACACTGTAAGATTGTCTGTAGCTTTCTCCTTAGGGCAGCAGTCTGCTAAATATAACACAGTCTCCTTTCTGCTCAGCACTGGCTACTCTTCCTTCTACTCCTGGCCTTCCAGAGCCATAATGACAACACTGTTAGAGAAGAGGAAATGCTGTACAGCCACTGGATGTTTTGAACTGCCTTTTGTATGGAAAATTATAAAAGGAAAAAATGGAAGAAGCAAAACTAAACAGAAAAATTGAGAGCAGACAAACCATGTTTTTAAATAAATACTCATGCCTTGCAAGGTAAACAGTTGTTACTATATTCACCTCTTAAAGAACTTCTCAAGGCATAACAATGTCTTCATCATCTGACTGCAAATTTGACTTCTGGGTCTCTTTTGGGATTAAACTCTTTGAGGTAAGGTTGTAAAAATACAGGGGCTACTTCAAAAGTACTTCCTATTTTATTATGTAGGTCCATAATGTCAGAGGGAGATGGTTGTGGTATGGCTGTAGAGGTTGAAACTTCTCACCAATATTCCATTACATTTTGTTGTTGTGTGACAAATGGCAGCAGAAGGGTAGTCTGACAAAATGGTGCCTGACATGGAAGTGTGCATGAAGTAAAGATGTTTACGGAGACCAAACAGTGGATGTCAGCACAGTGAGGTGGTGGGCGGTGCATTTCAGTAGTTCGATGTGAAAGACAAGTCATGTTCTAAATGGCCAAGGACAGCTGTCTCACTATGAAATGAAGAGCTCCTGTTCATTGTTGGCAAAAAAGCATAACTAATGGTGGTAATTGTGATGAAAAACAGTGTTTTGTAGCTGAGAATTTGCTCTATCAATGAGCGCTATGGTGCTCTTTTTATCTGTTGTGATTTCCATAGAAATAAATAAGAGGCATTACTTTTGAAAGGAACTTTTTGAAATGAACACACAGCATGGAATTTTCTACTATCACTGTTCTGAGCTGAAGAGCTTAGGGATGCAAATTTATTATGAAGTGTTTACCATTGCTAAACTGGGGCAAGAGAAGAAACAGAAATAACCTTTCCCTTTTGTGGCTTATCATCTAGCCAATGAGCCTGACTTCCTCTGTAGTGGCAAAATTTCAAGTTCTTTTATAGCACTTAAGCCCATTTATCTAGCTAAATTTTGCATTGCATGACTACTAAACTTATGAAGTACATAGAGGAATGACAGGGAGAAGGCCAATGGTAAGAAATTCAAACCCAGTATATTTATGTATGTGAATAATAATTTTCACCTTCTGCAAAATGCTTGAACCATTGGGATGAAATAAAGATTTGGCAACAATTAAAATTGCTTTTATAAGAGCTGACTTTGATTTCACATTGTCAATTACGTGAGTTGCTGGACCTTCTCCCAGTTTTACCTCCTTTCATTCTGAACTCAGTCAAGTCCCTGTACTGACCCAGAAGACATACTCAGCTGACTTGCATGACCTTAGTTTGTGCATAAGGGCAACGCAATCAAACTGCCAGTGACTAAGTGATCTCACCTGTGAAGAGCTAATTATAAGTACACCACCAGTATACTCTAAGCTAACAGAAAACATTGCTTTAACACCCTTCAGTCAAAAATCCAAAGTTCTTGAACTTGCTTTAATTACAGTTTTATTCAAATATTAAAACCAGCCTGATTTGGGAAGTCAGAACTTCAAATTTGCAAAACAGGACCTCTCCCTCTCTGTATTTACTTTATCCTTATTTTATTACCTAGGTGCTCTAGTCATCCATTAATTTAAGCCATGTGTAAGAAGACATGCATTCACACTGCTCTTTTACAATAGACAAAGTAACACAAGCCAGGATGGGTGATATTTTGTAATTCACGCAGCAGAGGTGATTTTTCAATTTTGTTTTTTAATTTCTTTTACTATAAAACTGAATGACAACTCTAAATTGCTGCCTCTTCTCTTGCAAAAGGATTCAGTCTACGAAAGAAGACAACCCATCTGATTTTCAGTAATATACAGCATAGCATTATGTGTAGAGAAGCAGTGAGGTAACTTAGAGTAGAACTATTCAGTCCCATGTACCGAATTCTTTGACTAGGCATTGCATTACAATGCACACATGCACCTGAGAAGCTAACAAGACTCTTTCTCTTGCAATTCCCAACTTCTTCAACTTGAAATCACTTCAGAAATCTGCCTTTTTTTTTTTTTTTTTTTTTTTTTTTTTTAATAAAGATAACTGGCAAAAAGCAGTCCCATCTACCAAAATGAAGCAGCAAAATCTAGCAAAATGAAGAATTAGTAGATATTGATGCAAGCTTTTGCTCAGGTAATAAGAAACTCAGATACCTAGACTTCAGATAGCCAGACTATGAAAAACTGTTTTCTATTTTGTGATATTCTTAATTACGGAAATGAACTGTAAAATATTTTAATGTAAATTATACAATGTGAACAGTACAATGACGCAAATTTTGCCTCTTTAATCGACTTAAACACTAGAACTTTCTATGCACGTAAACAATTGCGATGTTTAGAAAAAGAAATCAACAACTCTATCTTCTTGCTTTTGGGCAACTATTTTACAAACGTAAGGCCACCAAAGGTCTGCTTTACAAAATACTTTGTTTCCTTAGAGCTTACAGTGCTGAGCTGTGCAGATCCTGACTGCACAGCTGTTAATCATAAAAACATAATGAGGGGGATTAACCTGCAGCTGTGCCCTACCAGCTAGGAGCAATGTGGTGCTGGATGAGGATTTAATGCTGTTTTAGATTAACAATTCAGAGCTGCAATATCAACCTGGAAGGTACAAACTGATCAGAGTCCAAAAACGCATTCCAAATCTTTTCCTACTTTTCTGACCTCTGTAACACAATGTGTATAATCTCACTCAACAAACATTAATAAACTAGAAGTTGTGCAGACAAAGCAAATTAGAATACAATCTTATTTCTTCAATACACCCTAGAAGTACTGCAATTGGCTTTTTATTGCCGTTTTGCAGATTTTCGGGAAAAAAAGTGCTGAATTTGATGACACGACTAGTAGTTCCTAAATTTGCACAGAAATTAAGTGACTTTTTAATTTCTTCCCTCACAGCCCCCATTCTCCCAGATGAAGCAGCTCCTTGACGAAACACTTCCCAGTTTCAGAGGACTCGTGAGCACCGGCTCTAAAGTACGCTCAAGCACAAACTTTCAACAAAACTTTCCCCCCACAAAGAGTTGGGCTTCACGGCTGCAGACCCCTCAACACCGACCAAGCCCCGGTGGCTGCAGCGGTGCTACCCCCACGTTCCCGGCCCCGCCGGGGACTTACCGCCAGTGAGCAGAGCCAGCGGAACGGCGATCACCGTGATGACAACGGCGACCCCCACGAGTCCCAGCAACCACTTCAGCAGGGTCTGTAAAGAGAAGTCCCGTCAGGACCGCCGCCCATCACCCGGTCTGGGCAGTCCAGACCCTTGCCTCTCCCTCACCCACCTTCATGCTGCAGCAGCTCGCAGAACGCGGCTGCGAGCGGGGCGGGGCGGCTGCTCTGAGCGCTGGAAGGGCACGCCAACGGCCCGTCTCGAGGCGCTGCCGCCTGCGGGCACGCGGCTGGGGCGGCGCGGGGCGCTTTGCAGCGGGGCCCGGGGATGGTTACCGCCTGCAGCAAGCGAGCATCAGCAGAGCTCCGCGCGACAGTTGTGCAAGATCTCGTTGCTCCAGCCGGCACTGCAGCTTCCCGTGCTTTTCTCTCTCTCTTTTTTATCTGTTTTTTTTTTTTTTTTTTTTATGTGTCAAGTGTCCTTCTTCTCTACCCACTTCCCCCCACCCCCCGTCCTTCAGTTTAAACGCTTGGAGCGTGGGGACAAAGATGTACATTAGAGAAGAAGGACACTTGACACATAAAGTATTTTTGAAGGAAATCAGATAACGCCCACACAGTGTTCCCTCAAGTAAAATGCCTTAAACGCTAATAGCAAAGCTCCTAATGGTTTAATAAGGGCAATATTTCGAGTTTCTGCTCTTTAAACTACTTTCTTTGACAACCAAGTCCTAGAAATACTGACAAACTTGCAGCAAGGAAGGGTTTATATTGAATTCTTTGGTACCACTGCTGGCATGAAAGGCAGTGCAAGGCTGCAAAATAAAAGCTGAAATCAAGAACAGAAAACAGAAGTGTGTGATAGGATGAAAGTTTGAAGTTTAGCTCTGAAGAAAACCCTGGTTTATTACATCAGACAATTCTGCATAGGTTGCTCCGAAAGTAATGCCTTCCATTTAATTCCATGAAAACCACAACAAACATATAAAGCATAATAATACTATCTGATAGGGCAAATTCTCAGCTACAAAATGCTATTTTTTCAACACAACCACAACCATGAATTATACATTTTTACCAGCAATGAACTGTACTGTACTGTGTACTGTACTGTACCTGTGTACTGTAATTATAAATATCTTCACTAGCAGACGTGCCCCACTGTCATTGCTGTTTCCACTGCTGAAATGCACTACCCATCACCTCACTGTGCTCAAAGCCTCTGTTTGGTGTGCACAAACATTCAGTAAGCACCAATGAATATCACTGGTGGGCATTTTTTCCACATGGAGAAATAAAATTCCACACCTTTGCTTCATATGCTCTTCCATGTCAGACGCCATTTTGTCAGACTGCCCCTCTGCAGGCATCTGTCACATGGCAACAACATGTAATGGAATATTACTGGGAAGGTTCAGTCTCTACTGCCAAACTGCCAACATCCACCTCTGTTGTTTTGGTACAACATAATAATAAAATAGAAGGCATTACTTTTGGAACAGACTTCATATTTCTAAGAGTAATTTTGAGTCTGTATTGGAGTAGTACAACACACTGCAGGAAAGTACCGGAAATGCCTGGAGATAATAAAAGCATAAAGCATTTGTTCATTCAAAAAAAGAGCATCACCAAATAGAAAGATGTGGGATTTTAGAAAATATTTTAAAAGGAGAATTTTACCCCCCACCCCCCCCCCCCCCCCCCCCAAGTCCTTATTAAGTAGTGAGGTTTGTGGTTTTGTTTCAGTTCATCTTAGCTTTTTCCCCTTCTATTTGCATAGCACTAGCACTTACCAGAGAAGGATGCAAGTATTTTACTGCTTTGAAAGTGTAATAGAAAAGCATGTGATCCACTGAAATAAGAAGAGACATGAGACCAAAGAAGACAACATTCTTAGTCTTGCCTGCAAAATACTTGTCAGAATAAAGCTGTACACTGAGCACAGCATTTAATATTTTGCTCTGTTTCATAATCTGTATCTGGAACTGAGCTAACAACTTGTTATGTTAGACACAGACATTAACGGCTGGCAGGCATGGAAAGTAATAGACATTAGCTGGATGTAAGTTTGCTCTATGCTCATTTTTATATACTGCTCTCCTTGAAGGTAGTAGTTACAACTAACTATGAAATAAACTGGTGCTAGCTATATCAGTTTGCCTTAGGAATACTATTAGTGTGATATGTCAATGGTTCCATGCTGCTCAGCTTAAGTTTACAATGTTGTATCTAACATGCTGCAAATTCACAGTTTGCTTAACACTATTTTCTGTGTATAAGTGAATCCACAGTGGACTGTTACAAAGTACAGTTACAGTTTTTTACTTTAAATTTCAAACTAGTACCACATGTATGTTGTGAGATGTATGATCAGAGTTTCAGAAGTCTTACAAGCCCATCTGAATATTCAGTAACTGCCTGGTGTACTGTGTTATTAAGTGCCTGACTCATCTTGTTCACAATAAAGAAAAAAAACCCACAAAAATAAGCCAAAACCCTGAAGTGAATTTTCATTTTCACAGTGAACATGAGTCAAAACACATATAATTTAGCCAAAGTGTTCTTTGTTTTCTATATTCAAAACATATAAATACTGTAGCGTAGTGCAGTCAAAGTAAAATCTCAGTCTTGTGATAGAATGCATATGAATTGTACCGAGCTTTCTGTCGGCAAGTTGCAGTTTAACAATGTACTGGGAGGTTATCTGCAAGCTTTTAGTGTTTCTCAGTGGTTATTTTAAGAAAGACCTACACTGACATATGCCTTCTGATATTTTCAGTGGGCACACAAGTTTAAAGAACTGGAAATCAGGCTATATGTATCTAGACCAAGATGTCTAATAATTTACAGCATTTCTGGCTCTGTTGTGCCGGGGAAGTTTGTGAGATCAAATTCTATACTAAGAACCACATGAATTATCCATTAAGATTAAAGATAGAAAGATATGCTTTCCATTTATTTGTAATAATAGTAAGTACTGATTCTTGACAACTTTTAAGAATCTCAAATTCCTTTACTATGATCAAAGTACCAGAGGTCACATTACCAGATGTAATGTTTGTAATGGTGCTTCTGGATACCCTGTCGGATGGTCTTTCGTGGAAGCCTGAGACTCAAAAAATGGCTCCAGCCAAGTGATTAAAATTCCTTTATATCATGGGGTTCTTCTGAAATCAGAGATGTGTGAATATGATGCCAAGAGATTATGGAAATGAATATCCAGGAGTGGCTGCTACACAATAAAACCTGACAAACTATAGCTGTTCAGCATGCTGCATTCATAAAGAATGCAGTTAAGCAAGTTGGATAATGAAGAAGAGCTACTTACTAGAAGGAAGCAAAATACAGCTTTTATCCTGAAGGATAGTTTTCCTAAACGCTTGGTTGGTACACCAGATGGAATGTCTCCTTCAGATTTCCAGCCTTTGTAAACCTCAAAGATTTATTCTAACTCTGTTTATTTATCCCAGTCTTCCCTCTAAAAGTCTGAAGAGCTCCAATGGGAAAATTGGGAATAAAAACATTGTGTTCTGCAGAACAAAACAAATATTTTTTGGGTCTAAAATGCATAAAGACTCTTTTACAAGCACAACAGTAATGTATTCCAGTGTCTCAATGTGCAGCTACAGGCCACAAATGAAATGCTGGAAAAAGTTTTACACTAACTTCAGGGCTCCCTTCAAATGTGCTGTGATGAAGGGAAGGTATGAGTGCTGCTTACACTATAGAGTGTTCAAGCTCTACTTTTGAGTAAAGTGCCTTTTGATAGCAAATGTATGATTTGTTTCCCAGGAATTTATTTTTGTTTCTTTACATTTTGAATCTGAAATGGCATAAAGACAGTTTGGTAATTCATTGTTACAATGGTTCTGTTTGAGAGGATTTTGAAGAGAGAGTAACTATAAATCAGAAAAGGAAATAAGAAAAAATCCAAAAAACTTCTTTTCTGTGGTTATATTAGTAGGACAAGCATTTCAGTGTGTCTAGTAGCACCTGTCATTCAGTTCTTTCAAATTTATAATGAGTATATAAATAATATAAAAAGAATTTCCTAGTTACTGAAGATTCTTGCCACATGTTTGCAGTGCATAGCTAAGTGGCTATTGTATCTCAATTATATTTTTATTTTATTTAGAGGAAAAAAGATTTTAAAAAATCAAATTGAAATTAGATATTTAATTCCAATTAATTCTCTTGTTGCTCTTGAATGTGCTTATATTTTGAGATACTTAGAAAATGGAATGGAATAGGAAGGATGCTGCATATTTCAGTATCTAAAATGCAGTTAATGAAGAAGGTAAAACTGGGAAAACTTTTTAATATAAGGACACTTGGAAGTTCTGGGTAGTGCATGTGCAGAGACACAGAGGACTCCAAATACAAATGATTAAAATACACAACTTCTGAATCCACACTTACACAATAGAGTAAAAACGATAGAGTACCAAAACATCATTGGTACTATTTTCATACAACTTAAAGAAGGTGGAAGGTTCGGTTTTCTAATAGAGTGAAGAAGTCAGTATGAAGTGTATAAGTGAATAAAAACAAAAGAAGGTTTTTTTTGTTTTTTTTTTTTTTTCACTGTAATCTACATTTATGATGCATTTACAATGTATTTCACATAAAATGGAACCCATATCCTAACTCTTTTAGTATACTTAAAGCTCATATAAAACTTTAAGTATAAAGTAGGGATGCATTACAATGGCATCATCTTTTATAGCTTACCAATGAAGACCCCTTGTACACACCAGAACATTTGATTTTAGAAAGATGTATGCAGTTTGGTCCTCGAATAAAGAGGATGAAAAGGAAGATCAATGTTTCTAAGAGTAGATGAGGGTGTAGCCCTGTAGGTAATTCTAAAACATCCTGTTGAACAAGATCCACTTTGGCAGCCATACTTGCCTTCCTTTATTTGCTGACAGCAAATTGAGGCCTCCTCACACAAGCAGTAGCACCACAGGGAACACAACCAAAATTATAACAGACAGCTGTTACTTCATAGCCTGAAGACTTCAAAGAACATCTATTATTTGCAAGGAATTTCAGGGCCACTCTAAAATTGCTGTTTTTCTCTACAAATGCACCATTCATAGCATGTAATACCTAGATCCTCTCTCCCATACTATAGAGCACAAAATCAAGACAAGAATATAAATAACAATTCTCTGTAGGCTTGACTACTTGTAGGCTTGACTGCTGCAACTATTCTGCTCCCTCTGAGCCTGAAGACATGGATAAGTGGTGTTTACTACAGAATCTTTGAGGAAGTGGCTGCTACATGTTTAGGTTTATACCTTTCACTTGATTACGTCTAGCATGTACAAGAGATATTCAGCACATACCTCATTTGTTCCCCCAACTGAATTTGTTCTGTGATTTCAGGATAAGCGTAAGTCCTAGTCCTGTTGCTAAGCTTGTATTTGGAACTGCTGGAACGTGCTCAACTTCATCTGACTTCTGATTCATGCTCTAGATTGGGACTCAGAAAATTAGAATGTAAATATTTTTGCTGTGTTCCAAACAAACTGCATAACTTTGAGAAAATTATTTATACCCTTCTGTCCTTAAAAACATCTAAAAATTTTATAAACATATGGAAAAACAGTATTTACATAGCTGACAAAGCGATCATCAGGAGATGCTCAAATACACTGGTGACAGACACCACAAGTAAATGGGCTTGTAACTCTGGAACCTTGTCCTTCAGAGCAATAAATGTCTTCTGCAGAACAGAATAAAACACATTAAAGACATTTGCTCAGTTTATAGAAATAGAAGATTTAAATTTTTGTACCATTTCAGCCTAGACTATATGGATCCAACTATATATAAATCTGAGTCTTTAATACGGCACAGTTCTACTGAGCTCTAACTGCTTTAGGTTGGATAAATGTTGCTGTCAAAAATCTGCAAGAACTAATTTGGGTGTGATCAGTTCTGCTCTGATACATTTTAGTATGTATACCTGGCATACTGCTACTATGACAAGGGAAGAAAAAGGGGTTGAGGACTAATAAGAAGAGATGCATAGAAGCACCTGCAGTTATTTCACTTATTTGAGAGTTGCGGTTACAGCCGCACATACAAAAACACATCCTGGCCAGCTGAAAGGAAATGCTAGAAACACTGAGATCTGCAGGCAAAGTGTTCTGTGAACATAATGGAGAAGGCATAAATTACTAAAATCATAGTTGTTCTTACTAGTTTCAGTATAATGTTGTTAACTGCAAGAGGTGATGGATACAGTACTTTTCATAGGAGGAAGGAAGAATAGACTATAACACAGATTATTAGAATGATCTCAGGGCCATTTGAGTTGGCTTTACTCAGCAGTTTTGTAAGCCTTGACAGTATTAGATGGTAGAGTTTCCACTATTAATGATGTAAATTTTAGTTAATATTTTTCAAATCTGTCCTCCTGCTTTTCTGAGAAACAGCCATTTATGCTAATGAATACTGTTCAGTCTTGCTTCCATCTCTAGCTTCATCATACATTATTCTTTCTTAACTAAGTACAATCAAGCTTTATACAGTTTTTCTCATAAAATCGTAATAGAGAAAAATTGACAAAATGCTCATTTTGTTTTATCACTCTGAACAAGCCAGTTCCAAAGATCTCAGTGACAATAACATTAAAATAAAATAAAATTGAGTGGAAACAGACAAAAGGGATATACAGACAAAAAGTCAACAAAAAAGAAGCTTGAAAAAATTTATTTAAGGCTATTATTTAATATCCTTAAAGCTTAGCCTTTTTATAACAAAGGTTTCAACAGGGATATTCACTTTTCAGACACTTACAGCTGCCAGCCCTAGATAATAACTGGTGATTGAATCATTTGCGTGCATAAATCAATTTTTAGAAAAATAATTTCATAAGTAAATATAAATGGAGTTATTTCAGTCCAAATAAATGGAAAATATAAAGAAGTGGAACTTTCATAATCTTAAAACTATTTTGATAACCATCCCTTAGATGATAGGTATTCCATATATAATCCTTTGGCAACATTAAATGAAACTACAATTATTTCCTGGCATGCAAGGTGACATAGCTTTGTTACACCCAATGTAAATGACAATATAGATTTCAGAATCTCTTTGTAGCTGGCAATTCAGGCAGTGAAGATCTTCATTTATCCCATTTTTATCCTGCATTCTTATTGATATTCTCCCAAAAGGTCTCTGGAGAAAAAAAAAAAAAAAAAAAAAAGTAATTAGACATAATATAAATCTCACAAGATTTGTCAGATATGCATCATATGCATGAAAAATATTTTTTCTTGTTAAGAATTAGCAGACATTAGTTCCACAAATCCCTTAATGCTTTTCACTTATAAAAGTCTGAAAACTATTCCTAAAGGAAAAGATTTTAAATGGTTTCAAATAGATGACTTTCTTAAATTAATTATTTCAGTGCTTAACCATAAACAAACACAAAAATATGAAATTGTTATTCAAATCCATGTTTTAACTATACATTTTTTTTTCTGTTACATATTTCTGAGATTAATTAGAGATTTGTGGTCCTTTAGGAGTCAAAAGGCAAAGTTAATAAATTTTTGCAATGGACACCCAATATTTTAGAAAATCTGGCCTGCACATGTGCCTTAAGTGGGCATTGCATTAGTTTTGAAATGCTTTGTCAGTAATAACAATATATGTCAATAACCCTAAAATATTAACCTGTTTGTAGAGCTCAGATAGAAAATGCTCTTCTCCCAGCAGCGTTTGCCTATATACAAAGAAATTAAAGAGTGGTTCTTTAGTTGCTTTTTGGAATGACTTCACTTTAGAGCATCATACCCTTGTTCAGCGCTGTCTATAATGTAGAGTTTGTAACACTGTTACAGGTATTCCTACTTAAGAGAAAAGTGAGTTGTATTTTCACTGTGTGTGACAAATACATTAAAAAAAACCCAATATATTAAGATAAATATGATCAAAATTCAGGCACCTTTGGGTAACTTTTGTGTTAATCAGCCATTTTAGGAACTCTTTGGCAGCCATATCATCCAGAATTTTGTTGATATCACTTGTGAAAGTGCCATCTGCGTGTCTTCGGCCCATTTCTTCAGCCATTAAAGCTTTTTCTGGGAAACTTCAAAGGAAAGAAGTTATGAAACAATTTGTAAGTCCCAAGCAAAAACTGATAAAAGGGCCTTATTACAGGTCCTTAATTACTGAAAATTTCCCTTTATTTTAAAAGGTTAAAGGTTGAACCAGATGTTATGGCTCTGCATAGCATGAAGCATATCAGAACATCTTACGAAGCATTATTTTAACAGAAGAAAGCATCAGATTCTCCCTTCACCAGAAGGGGCTCTTCCTTTAGACTTCCTTTAGTCTAGATTCCTCTTTAGTGTTTTTCATGGATTTTCTTTGAAAGCTATAGATGCAAAAACGTAACTAAAGTCAACACCATCTATGCCAAGTAAATTAGGCGTCAATAAAACTCACAGCAGATTTACGAAGAATAATTTTTTAAAAGAAATATCACTACTAAAATATTACAGTAAAATTTTCGTATGGATTTTTCCATTTGACTCTTGAAGTCCTAGTTTTATATTTACAGTTATATTGCATAGGTATTTAAACAGTAAAAGCAGCAGTTTTTTTGGGGGGGATAAAATAACTGAATTCAAATATCTGTATTAAATTTACGTGCTTTTTTTGTTGCACAATAGAATTTTGTATTTGGAATCCTATTGCAAATCTTGATGCATCCATTTCTGACCACTGGAAAGCCAGTTTACCAAGTAGCTTATTTAGAAAGCTTGTTTCAAACCATCAAGTAAAGGAAGATTTTTCTAGGTTCCAGTGAGGTTTGCTGATTGAGGCACACTGTGTTCTGGGATCAGTGACAGGCAAACTGTTTTTTTTTTTAATGTACTAACTTTAGGAAAAGCTACATTCAAGTCTGACTGCAAATAGCACTAAATATTAGGAAGTAGGAGGCTGCTATGTATGTAATTGCTTGTCTAGGTTTTTAAACTCAGGTCATCAGAACTCAGTTGTAATCTCTCTTTGTTATAAATACTAAAATAACCTATCTCTGCTCATGTAAATAAAATATAACAGAACAAACAGCTGCAGATCTGAACATCACCTGGAAGTGGCACCAGCCTTTCCTTTATCTGTATAGCTTGATCTCATTTACTTAGCACTGTTTTTTCGTCATTATTTTCAAAATTTACTTTTACCTAGTTAGTCTTCCTTGACTACAACACACAATCTTGTCTTACAGATTATATTTTATTGTTGCTGTTATTTATTATTTTTAGATAATATGAGAGATTTACATAGTACTTTACAGCTAGCAAAACATATAATAATGGGATGAACTGAAATCCCTGCCCCGAAGAGCTTACAGTCTAAAGGCACAAAAAAGTACAGAACAGTTAAAAGGTAGTGAGTGGCATGTGCATGATGTAGCTCCTAACCACACTGACTTGGAATGGTGATAAGACAGAAAGTGCCTGAAATTAAGGCTGTTCCAAGAGTAAGTCTATTATGAAAAATGTACAAAGTCACGAATGAGCAAGTGAAGTGAATAGGTTTGAGAAATCTGCACTGAATATATGGAGAGCAAGATAATGAAAAAATCCGAGATGTACCTGAATCAAAACTATGGAGCTGAGTCTTGGAAACTGTGAAATATAGCAAAAGAAATAAAGATGCTTTAAAAAGGAAAATAAGGGATAGCAGTTGGAAATTATGGTTATTTTTGATGCTATAATTTGTGGAGACTTTGCAGATAATAGGTAGAGCAAAAGAAGACATTAGTAACTGCTGGGAATGATCACCAGAGCATGGAAAACGGCTGTGGTGGCAGTGACATTGGTACAAATTTAATCTTGGAAATATTACAGAGAGAATGACTGACTACAAAGGCAGAGAAAAAGAGAAAGAAATTTAAGATGACACTAACATGACTCATTTCTGTGACAGTTAAGGAGACTGTAAGCAATGTTATGTGATGAGGAAAAGGTGATAATTAGAGGAAACTCTGTTTTAGTTTTAGATATATTGACCTTAAATATAATTTGACCTTTCAGAGTGTAACAGTATATTGAACACGCTTATTTCAATCTATGCTTGAACTTAATAACTTAAGATGGTAGTCTAACAGCCACACAGTATCTTCTATTACAAAAGGAAAATATGAAGTACAGTAGAAATGATCAAAAATACATCATGATTTCATATGATTTGATTTCTAACCTTGAAAGCAAAGCAAAATTTAATAATAGGAATGGATGGATTCTTACTCTCTTCTTCCTCGTCCATTCACTAACCAAGCAATGAATTCTTTGGCAGCTTGACCTTCCAAATAAGAGGTGATATCACTGGTGTAGGTGCCTTCAGCATGTCTCTCAAATTCGGAATGACGCTTGGAAATTGCATTGCTGAAAGAGGGGCAATAGTCTAGGATCAGACATCATTATTTATCATTTATTATTTTTTTACCATTTAATAATTTAAATTTCCCACTAAACATTCTGTATCAGAAAGAGTTTTTCTTTGCTTCTCTTTTAATCTTGATATTTTCATTTTTCAGTTCTGAAAGCAACATATATGTTACACACAGTACAGTTTTGTGTTAACTGAACTAGATGTAAAAAAATAAGATATTGAAAGCATGTATAACTGCATTGGAAAGATCTTCTGCTAGGTAAATTAGCTCAGCACAGCAGACCACCATATTCTACAGACATACTTTTTGTTACCTCTAACTGCAGTAACTAAAAATTCCATTAAGCTACTCCTTCTGTGCTCATCTTCATTATTTCTCAGCCAAACTCCTCAGACTTATATTTTTGAGACGTTACTCTGCATCATTTTGAATTGTTTTGTGAATATCCATTGTTTTCAGCAAAGTAATAATTTTGGAACAATTTCAAATTTCAAACTTGATAAACTCTAGCTTAATAGAAAAGAAATTGCTTCCCAATCCTACCCCTGCTTCTTTCTCTAATTTATAGCAAAATTATGTTACACTGACCCTTAGGAAGACAAGCTGCACTGAGAAATAGATGTGTTTTGGGATATTTTCCCATGAAAAGTTCCCTTGAATTTCTATTTCAGAGTTTGCTGATTTCTGCCAAATTTTCAGGGCCGTTAGCGTTTTGTATAATTTATTTGTCTTCCTGAGATTTCACCATTCCTCCCAATTTCGTACCATCTGCACTTTCTATCAGAATTTAACTAGAGTTTGAAACATTTGTGATAAAACATAAATTTTGTAAAGATATGCTGTTTCTGAAGCTGAAAGATTTAGTATTATATTGACAGCATTTAGAGCAGAAGGGTTATTGTAATCCTCTGGATTTTCTGACAAAAGAAAAAATAAATCTAAGTATTTCTATCTATTTGGCAAACAGAGATTTGTTGTTGTGGTTGTTGTTATTTTCAAATTTCCAACCCCTCGACCTCTCTTCTAGAATCACAGGAAACAAAATTTAAGCCTTCAGCCCAAATTGTTTTGTTTTCTTTTTTTTCTTTCTTTTTTTTCCCAACCTCATTCTCTACTACTCTCCTCTATTATTTGGGATATGTTTTCCTGGTATGTCTTATTCTCATGCTATTGCAATTTTGAAGTCATTGCACATAGCAAAAGCACACATGTACAGACATGAAAAACAGATGTTTTCTCTTTCCTCATGGAAAGAACAGATGTAGCATAATTTCTTTTTATAAGTATTTCTCTGATTTTGTTAACATTTTAGAGAATATCAGTTTATTTTTCTTAACAGAAAATTAACTCAACTTTTTTTGAATAATAATTTTGTAGTAAATAGAATACCTTGAGAGATGGTCCGGGAATTTGTCATTCTCTTTGTCCTCCTGTCCTTGTTGGCTGTAGGGGAATTCCACAACCATTAGATCATTATTAGCAGTACATTGCAGAGCATGAATGAGCTGATAAAATTCTATTGGTAATTATCTATATATTACCATAAACAATCATGAATGATGGGTGAACATTATAAATATTTTTAGTCTTATGTACTTAAATTAATACTGTCTCTAGAAATGATTACTTTAAAGATTTCCACAGTGATTTAAAAGATTAATATAACAGATTTTTTTATTCTGTGGGCAGATCTTCTCCAGAATGCAGGGCATAGAATTACTTGCTACTTCATTATTCATGTTAGCCTTTGTTTAAACAAACTGTACCTTCAGAAAACCATGCCAGCTTATGCCTCAAAAGAACACTAGTAAACCATTCATCGATTAAGCTTAATCTCAGCTCACTTTTCACAAATGAAACTTCAGGATTAAAGCATCCACAGGCAGAAAATTCTATTAAGGCCCATCGGCTATATTTTTACCCAATATTTGTGTATCTTGTACATATTGAAATTTGTTTCAGTGAATGAAGTATCTGTCCCAAAAAGGTAGAGATACAGTCTCATTTTAGATCACAAATTAGATAATATAATGACACTATGCCTAATTTATCCAATCAGTTTTTACTAATGTTGTACATATGTACATCTCTAATAACACATTAAAGTTCTATATAAATTTTCTCTAAGTACATTAGTAATTTGAGGATTAAATGTGGTCTGTGACAGGAAGCTGAAATAAAGAAATTGAATTCATTCATATTTTTGGCTATTTTATCAGCATGGATAGAGCAATGTGTCCAAAAACTCTTACCCATTTCTTTTAGTGCTCATTAACCATTGCACAAAATCCTGAGCTCGTCTGCTGTCCAAGTATTTGCTGTAGTCACTGGTGAACGTGCCTTGTGAATGACGCTTTACTTCATTCAGCTGCCTGGATTCATCTAGTGGTTCAGATTGGGAAGCTTTGAATGATCTAAGAAAAGTTTAGAAGTTGTTATCTGGCAATAGCTGCAGTACATTCTACAGGTGTACTAACATTTCTTTTAGCAATATCATTTATAAAGTGAAAAAAAGTGGCATATTTTTGGTTGTTAGCAGGCTAGTAAAATGAAACAATATTGTAGCATGGATACTGCACATCTTACAAGGTGTATTGGAAACAAAAGCACTATTATTTAAAATAACAAAAACTACTGTGCCACACTTTGCAACATTAAAAGCTTTTACCAGTTCCAACGGTAGATTAAGTACTTTCTATAAATCATGATATGCTTTACTTTGAGGAATAAGAAAGCAAAGTTCAGGCTAAGGGTTTCTAGGGGTTTGATCTAAAGAATTTACCTTGATTTCTCCTCCGTATCCTGAAGAGGATTTTGCCAGCTGCCTTGAACTATCATTAAAAGGAGTCCAGCAATAAAATAAATATTATTCATTTTCATTGCCTGTCAAAATAGAAATAAAACAATAAAGAAATATGTAATCTTATTTACTTATCACTGAATCAATTACATCAGAAAGAAATATCATCAGTTCTGATCTAAACTTGAAGAAATTGAGATCCTGTGTAATGAATGGAGTCTAATGTGCCTTGGGCAGACATTCAAAAAATGTTGTTTCTGCTCTAGTCTTTAAGCTTTATTCTGTATTCAGGATAGTACGGTGAGCTGAGAGTAGATGTATCCTTTGTAAAAGGTCCTTATGTCCTTTGTTTAAAGTTCTGCTGATGGCAAGCATTGTATCTATTTCCACAACATCATTTTACTGCAAAACTAGGGCATTGATATGACTTCTCCTTTTTCCTTCAGTAGAGACAAAGTAAAGCAAATTTCTGTCAGGAAAGCTGTGGTATCAGCAGCTCCTTGTTCTTTCTGACCAGTAATACTCCTTTAACTTTGTTACTTTTTGGAAATAACACATATTGCACCAGTAGACCTCTTGAGTAAATGGCATATTATTAGGTGACTACTTAGAAAAAAAATTAAGCCTCACAATGGCTTAACAATTTATGGCAGGATATTCCAAACTCTGCTTCTTGCATCTTTACACAATATTCTGTTTTGCTTAACTACTTCTACTATGGGGTTTCATGGGATATACTGTTTTAGGACATTCTATTGACTTTAGTCACACAAAAGAAATGGGTACATTGTTATCACAAGCACTCTAATATTTTCAAGACTCACTGACTTTATTGTGAGATTATACAATGTAATTTATTGTATTTCTTTATTTACAAATGTACTGGTGATTTACAGCCAAGCTGTGTCTTATTTGAGTAAGTGACTGGTTTACTCGTATAAGTAGTTCAGTTGAAACTGTTATTGAATTGTCACCATTGCAAAAAAAAGCATAATCCAATTTTCTAATTAGGTGCCATGATTTTCATTATTTAATATATTAATAGCTCAGTTGACACATAATCCTGTGTGGGGCAAAGCGTTTATAAAATGAATGCTTTTCATTTGGGTCTTACAAAACTCTGGCAAAATGGACTACGATAGTTTAATAGTCTGAAAAGCACTGACGTTGTTTGTGTAAGCGGGAAATGAAAGGAAATCTGCTTACAAAATTTGTAAGTATTGTTTATTGTTCACCGATGTTTTGATCACTTAAATTTGTGGAATGGCTGTATAAACAAGGAAACTGATTTAAAATGTTGCTGGGTGCTTTCAAACACACAATTCATTCAAGGAGTAAATGCTAAATCACTGAATAATGAATAGTAAATATTCCTGAATTCACATGTTCAAAATGTCACTAGAAATAATTTCATCATTATCACGAACTTGGACTGATACTTGGCTATTTGACGAAGCCCTTCTGCTATCCATGAAATCTTCCTATAGAATTTTATGTTACAGTCTGAAAAACAAAGTGAAATAGGAAAGATGAATGCACTGAAGTAAAGTCATAGGTGGTATAATAGGACCCAGCTATAAACACCATTCCCACTAAATGTAATCTGCACTAAACTTCTCCAGCTCTGATAATTTGATGTGTAAATTCAATTTGAAAGAAAATACATATATTCTCTATGCCTTGTCATAATAGGCTGGATTTAAATATACAATGCCTGGAGGAATTCAGGCTATTTTGCTTCAATACCTCAATGCCAATATCAAAATATTTAGTCATCCAAAATCTTAATTAAATCTGAATTAAAAATGGGAAAATAAATTGATGAATATAAAACTTCCTGGTGGATTTTATTATATTAAACAAAGGAGTCAATTTCTTTGTCTCTATCAGGAGCTACGGACTGTACCTTTTTTTTCCCCCCACACTGTGTGTAATGTGTTTCTTTTGTAATGCTTTTGTAATGCTGTCATATATGAGATTTGTTTCCTACATCTCCATAAAACATACCTGTAGTAACAACAAATAATGGAGTGGACATGTAATTATTCAGTCCTATTATAATCTTAACTATTATATCAAACTCTTTTTGCTATTTCAGTTGGAGCTGTAATTTGGTGGTGCAACACTGACATCCAATGTTAGTCCCAAAGAATGCATAATTTCACATTTCATAGGCTTTCAGGGACACAACAGAAGCTCCGGCTTATTCTTAGGGAGATTATTCTCTATGATCACAAAAACGGCTTGATTTCTGTGTAGCTACCCTCATGCTAGCTGACACAGCTATAAATGTGTTAGCCCAGACACCAAATAGAGTCCAGGTATTGCACTATACATAAGTAAATTTCCCATGTGTAATGGTATACAAACTAACTAGTATACTTAATTTGAAAAACTAGAACAGGATATATACTTTACTACTGCTTGTACCACTGTTAAATCACGTTAAAGTTTAGACATAAACCTAAGACACTGAAACGGAGAGAAAGAAATAGCCTCATCTTTAATCCAGTCTGTTTATAATAATATCAGACAAAAAAGCTATTGTGATGTATAAAGCTTGAAAATAAATATTTAAAGCCCAATGTAACTGACAAACAGATTTACAGTGATTTAATCATATCTTGAGCTAACTCTTGGGTCTCGGTTCTACAGGGCTTTTAGATACAAGCAGTCCCACTAGCTACTTTATGCATTAAAAATATGTTTAAATTTAAATGTACATAGAACTTGTTTATAAATTTTTAAGAATCAAATTCTGAGAAGATTAATAAAAAGAAAGCTGTATAAATGCAGTTTTGAAAATTAATCACATTTTCAAGTATGAGAAACCTGGCCATCAATAGAATAAACATTTTAAAATGCATTGACTAGCTGTTAAACCTCTGTCAAATATATTTTCCTAAAAATTTAGAAACTGTTTAGTTTGTTCAGAGTTTAGCACTTGTCATTTCTAATCCAAACCAGCAACAGCAGTTTTCTAAAAGTTAAAGAAAACGTATTTAAAGAAAAAAATTCTATTATAAAAAGAAAAACACAGGGAATCTACTGTTAGGATGCAGGAAAACTAAAGCTAATTCCTCATAGTGCTTATGAAAAACATTTCTAATCAAAAGGATCTCGCTTTGAGCTATCAGAAAGTATTAAATGAATATTATTTTCTTGATCAAACTGATTCTTTGTTTTCCCACGTATTTTGCTGTAGTTATCTACTGCACACTGTGTAAGTTATACTAACTTAATGTTACTGAGTTTTCAAAAAAAAAAAAAATTCTTTCAAAAGTCAGATTTGTATCCATTTCCAATTTAAAAAGTATGGAATGACATCAGTAAAAAAAAAAAAAAAAAGAGGAATATTACAAATGAAAATATACAAGTGAATAAAGTAGATTTCTATTGAAGCAACAATTACAGATAGCAATTATTTCTATTATTAGTGTATTACTGTTTTGGATAGATGTGCTTTACATCTATTTATCTGCAGCAATGTGGAGATTTCTGTAAAAAACAATCAATCATTCTAGCTAAGGAAGTCCAGACCAGAAAACTGAATTAAATTTTATACAATAAGCAAAATAACTTCAAAGGTTTTATTTTTTTTCAATGTTATAAAATTTCCCATTGAGATCCTACAGTGATATGAAAATAACAATTTTTTGAGATGGACTAATCTGAAAGTAAGGCAATGGAGTGGTAATCTGTAGGGTGATGGGGTGACAAGCTGTTTTGGACAATTTTCAGTCAATATCCATATAGACCCATTTATTTTGTTTGTATTTTCCTAAGTTAATCTATATTGATTCATATTTAGGAGGGAGCTGTAAGAAACGAATATTTTAAAAATAATGTTCATTAACTATCCCTGAAGTAGATAAAAACATAAATATCAATAGTTTTGTATTTCACATTTAAATTCTTACTACAATGCCTGTTTTGCATCTTTACATGCTTAACTTTCCTTGTTTCAACTGCTTCTGCAATCCTAGTAATTGATGTTCATTTTGGGATTAATTCTGTTAAACTAACTCCATAGATTAAAAAAAATTAAATGGTGATGCCATTAATTTCAAACATTAAGTAGTATAGCCACAGAGGAAAACAACAGTTTGTTGAAAGATCCTGCATCTCTGTTGCAATCTTTGGACAATACAATTCAGAAAATGCATTCAGCTTTCTCAGATGAAATGTAGTAGTACTTCACATAAATCTTACCTTTTATATTTTGAAGTGATACGTAGCAGTTGTAGAAAGATCTGCTACTCTCTCTTCTGGAACTATGGAAAGCCTTGAGGATCCTGAGATCTGCCTAGCTGCCTCTTTTGCACAGACATATATATACACTGTTCAGCTCTAGTAAGCATTACCAGAGTGCATCATTGCTGACAGTTTCCTTATCCAACTTTAAAAAAAAAGTCATCGTATTTGCTATTCATTTCATTTGATGATTTTACAAGCAATTTCACACATTCATTCTGCTTACTTTATGACATCAATGCTAACATGGTTTTGCAAAAAGAGTAAGGTAGCAATGTTCAAATAAGTAAATATCAAACAGAAGGGCATTAGGATGGTAAACAGTTGGCTAGAGGTGCTTAGGATTAAGGCAGAAGTTTCTCCAAATTCTGAATTGTCACATTAGAATTAATCAAAACACTTAGTTTTAAGCAAAATCCTGGGCCTGTTGACATTTGTAGCATCAACGGAAGCTATCAATTTCAAATCTAAATTTACAGATTTAATATGCTATTAATAATAATCAACATTACTCCCCCAAAGTGCTTCATTAATTTTTAGGTAGACTTATGCCTATATTATGAACATAAAGAAGCACTTTTATTTTGAAGCACTACAGCAATGGCTACCCACTATGCAAAGCCTAGCCCAGGTCAAATTTAACAACGAAAAAGACTTGATTATCCTTACATGCATTATGCCAACTCTACTGAATGATATTTCATACTCACTAGAGATCTGTATGCCAGACTTCCATTTAAACTGGGTTTCAAACCATGGTCTACGGGTTTATACAAGATAACCTTTTTGCTCACATCTCTGTTCCCTACAAGGAAATAATTATAATAAAAAATATAGGTGTGAGTTTCATACTTGTATATGCTCTGTACGACTATTGCCAAGGTCCTAAAATATTCACTAATAGATGGGGGGAAAACTCATATCTGTGATGGGGCAGCACTGACACAGGCTGTGTTGAGCCATCTGGTGACAACAGTAGGAGAAACTGACAAATCTTGTCAGTGTCCCTGGCAGCTGAAAAAAAAGCCCACCAGTAAGGAATATGGGTGTTTTATCCTGTTGGTGAAGCAACAAGCAAGATATCCTCTGTCAAGGAATTCCTACAGAGCTTCCCTTATGGATTTTCTGACATACAATAATTCTTTTTAAAATGAAAAGTGCACCAAAACCAAAATATTATTATCATATATATAGGATACTATGCATCAAGCAGAGATATTAAATATTAAGGACTTCACTTTCAGTTTCAGTTCTGATCAGGAGGAAGAAAGGTCTGGATTTACAGCTGACATCTCACTGGACATAAATAACAGCCTGTATTCCAGCGTAGAATGACCATCAGTTAATTTTGGCACAAAAATCCACAACCTCTCTGGGCAGCCTGTTCCAGTACCTCACTACTCTCTCTGTAAAGAACTTAAAGACCTAGTCTGGTTTGAAATGAAAAGAAAGCCCCAGAATTACCATCTCCTAGGCAGTGTAATATTGAAGACATAATGCCCACAGAGCCAAAATTAACCAGGAAACTATCTTAAGCTCAAAAAATCTAGCTGTCTTCCTGAGAAGCTAGTTTCACTGTGACACTTTGTCTTCATATCTCAACATTATTTTTACTTGCAATTTAACACTGCAATGTCATGCGGTAATTCCAGAACTAAATATTAGAAGGCACTCTGTCCCATGAATTTCATTAACTTTACATCTCCTGCAGGCAGGCATGCTCCCTGGCTCTGCAGTACGCTGATATAACAGCAGATGGTGATAAAAGGGCCGTTTAGACCTTTATTTTGCACCAGGATGAAACACTTGTTGAAATAGATTGTCACAGATAATATAATTGCATGTTGAGTTCAACTGCTTAGGTTTCTAAACAGAGAATACAGAATGTGAGACAATACTACCTTCTTCAGGATTCAGGCTCTTTTTATTTGGGTTTGTATACTTTCATGTCTCAGATGTTTCTTGTTTACAGTAGGATGATTTCAGGAAAAAATATATGAGACAGCAGCCCAGTGCACCTCACTGAGCAGGTTGTTACATGGGCTATCTCATTTAGCAGGTCATCTAGCATCTAAAAGATGACTGCCTGGTTATGTTTTTCAAGTGATACACATACAATAAAGTATAGGAAAGAAATTAACTACCATCAAGAACCATGCACCCATCAGTTACCATAACTGAATCTAGAGTAATACATATTTATAGAGCTCAGCAAGCAAGTTCACTACACTAAACAGAAATAGAAAGATCTCATGCATGTGTGAAGGGCACATTTGTACACATCCTGAACAAAGTTTTTTCCTTTTACATCATAGATGTAAAAGTTAGATGTCACCTCTTGGCTCAAGTCAAGGGCTCACTCTCCTCTGTATTATAGTTCACACTTGCAACAGTACTTCAGATGAATCAGACTAAAAGATAGAACCTGAAAATGACCTGCCTTCAAGAAAGTTACATCTTAATGTTTTTAAAGTATAATTTGGAAATACTAAAAACTCTTTAGTTTGGTTCACTAAATTTGGAGATGATCAAAGTTTCCTAGAGCATCACCTTAGCACCAGGTAATTGCTGCCGTTAGAGACTGTGTATTGTACTCACTGGACCAGGAATCTAGGATGAAATTACAGAAGAAAAATAAGAAAAAAATTCTAATGAGATGTACGTTGACCTATAGATCTGGCACTGAAAAGTCCAGGTGGCATGTCCTTTTATAGAATAGGACTGCACACTTTTTCAAAAATGTTTTGCAAAAAAAAATAAATATTCAAGATTTTACTGAACATTTTACTGAATGAGAAAGTTGTTGACTTTTTAAAGTAAAAAAAAAAATACTGCTTTTTCCATGTGTTTTGCTATTAGTACTTTTATATACCTAAAGTATAGGAGAGAGGAGGCTGAATCTTGGGATCTGACTACACGCCTGGTACTTTTTCTTTCTTACATTGCACAGGAAGCATTCTCTTCCTAATTTTCTCAATCATGACTACAGAGGCTGAAATGTGTAGCCCTTTTTATTTTCCTATCCTTGCTACATGATAATGAGGCAAAAAGAGGCCTGCATTCTCCTTCTGGGAACTGATGCAATACATACATGTAGAAACTGACATACGTAAAGCAACTGGAGCATAAATGTTGCTCCCATGCCTGTACATGCACAAAATGCATGCATATACTTGTGTGTAGCTCTATGGCTATACCCTGGAGAGTAGAAGCTGCTTTCTGAAAAGGAAGATTAGTTTAGGGTCTCCATGTTCACAGGAAAGAGTTATTGTAACTATGCAAATATCCCACACTATCTACTGACAACAAATTGGAATTGCTCCATTTGAAATCAATGGAGCTTCATCAGTTTGCGCAAGCAGAAGAGCCAGTCAAGTATGTACTAGTTACTTTACATTGTGAGAAGACAATATTGGTAATTGAAAGTAATACCAAATGCTCTCTTAGCAAATACTATGAATTATTCAGATTAAATATAGACCATTCATAAGACTCTATAAAATAAACCAAACAGCTGTGCCTTGTAATCGGAACTGACTGGCAAACTAGAAAAAATTGAATGCATTCTGATTTTTACTTGTTAGCTAAGTAAAAAGAGTATAACACTAACCATGTTCTGGAGACTGGCTGAGGTTACTCTTGGTCTTCCAATGCTGCTTTATTTTCAGACTTCTTTGCAGATGTAGTAATCTCATGTCAAGGAAAGAATGTAGTTCCATGTTTAAGTATGAAGAAACGTACGTTCATTGATAGATACTGCATAATATTGCTCATTGATTCATACATGAAGCAGCAGTAAGGGGGAAGATGATGAAAATGGAGGTCGGAGAATGATTAGTAGTGGAACCAGTGGATTTGCTATAGTTTATGTACAGTCCATCTCCTATAACAAAGCAGCTATTGCTTTTCAGCTGTGTATTTTGTAAAAGTTATGCAGGATTTTCAGGGAAAACAGACTTGCAAACAACTCTATCTGTGTTGATTTCTTCATTCAGAGCAAATATCAGTACCCCAACTTTGGTGTTTAGCATATGTCATTTACATGACAGACTTGAAGACTAAGTTTCACTGTTGGAGGTGACATCTCAAGTGTGAGATTCTTACTCAAAGGGGAAAAGAAAATGTGGATTACTCAACATTTTCTGAAAACTGGTCTTCTAAAATGGTCTAAGGTGAGAAGTAAATCTTTAAGGACTCTCACCAATCTGGAGAAGCTACCATTTTTTTAACTTTAAAGTAAGTTGTTCTGCAGTTGGCTTTTACATACCATACTCTATGTTTGCAATGTAGACACATAATTGTTTTTCATGTGTAAGACCAACTCTCATATATATTTTTCTTAGCTTCAGCTTGATTCCACAAGACAAGCCCTTTCACCTTGAACTATATTGAAATTCTGTTATAGAACTGTAGTTAAATATTGTAGGCTCAACTAAGGAGAAGGAATGGGGCAAATAATTGTCCTAGAAAGTGTCTTTGATGATGATTTTACATGGATTGTGATTGAATTGGAAAGCAAAGCAGAAAGGAAAAGGACTTTTTCTTGAGAAAAGGAGAATTGGGGTATGGATCTTAGGAATATATATAAACATCTGAAAGGGAGGTGTAAAGAAGATGATGCCAGGCTCTTTTCAGCTGTGATCAGTGCGAGGATGAGAGGCAATGTGCACAAATTAAAAACAGGTGTTCTGTCTGGCACAACAGCTTTACTGTGCAGGTGATTGAGCACTGGCAAAGTTGCTCACAGAAATTGTGGAGTCTCCGTCCTTAGAGATGTTCAAAAGGTATCTGGACGTGGTCCTGAACAACATGTTCTAGGTGGCTGTGCTTGAGCCACTGAATCAGTCTTGGTGGGACAAGAAGACTCTTCCAACTTCAATCATCATATGATTCTGCAGTGGCTGGTTAGAAGTGCTCTGGATCGTTTCTAATGAACGATTGCAGTTACCTGCTATTAGTATAGGCAAGCTACTTTAATATGTTATTTATGCTTGAAATTTTTTGACGTTCACAGCATTCTAGAACATTTTCCCCAGGTCATCAAAATACATGGTTGCCCAGTCTAAAAGCTTTCAGGTTCAAGAGCACTCTATAAAGTAAATAAAATAACAATATGAAAAACAGTAAAGCAAAAGTGACAGCAGCGTGGTGCACTTTAAAAAAAAAATAAAGTTTTCATGGTTTATCCCCAAAAATGCTTCCCATAAACTCAGGTAAATGGTGGACATTTAGAAGATGTGTTCCCTTTCCCCTCACAAAGTAAAACAGACATACGGGCAAATAAAGGATGAAAAAGCTAGTACATCCCTTGGGAAAAAAAAGGCACCTTCTGTCTCTCATATGTCACTTATCTCAAGTAACTCCAGAAGCTTTTGACTACAGACCTATGGTCAAAGTGTAAACAGTGCATTGTATTACATTATTACTTATAGTATCCACAAGGGGTTGGTTTATCTGGTCAAATTTCTAAGGCGAGTAGGATTTTCAAAAAATATAAATAAAGTATAAAGCTGCAGAATCAGAAAACTTAATGATTAATATGAGCTTGATACCTTGCAGTCTGAAACTTGATCTGGGTTCCTACTGACTTATTTAAGTATCAAAAACCTTTAAACATCTGTTGCAAGACCCTGATTTTATTCTCTTTCACAAAAAAAATTGCAGTAGTTTTTGTGAGGTTGTATCAATACAGAAAAAATGATAGTAAAATCTCAGTAATTTCAGCTGAATTGTATTCCTTATTTGTAGAATAATCACACTGCTGACAGTATTTGTGTTTACAGCAAATGCACATAGAACCATATAATCAACGTCTAATTAGCCCTACTTTATGTTATATTTGCTTAACATTAACTTTCTTAGAGCTGTAATTTTTTCCTTTAACCATTATAGCAGTTGCATTTTAATTACATTACTAACAAGACGCTCATTAACATCATGTAATTGGCAACAAAACCTGAACTAATTGAGTATTTTCTGAAGAGTTCCTATCAAAGTGTAATTTAACCACTACAAACAGCTTGGTAACTACATTTACATAAAGATGTCTAAGAAATGTTCTCATGTGCAGAAAATCAGATTTGATATTGCCATTAACAAAATGAAGGAAGTCATTACATAGCAAATCACTTGTACATTTTAATGATTTTGGCTAAGCCCCATGTTTTTGTCAAGGGTCAAATTAAATGCCACAACTCTATTCGTGCTTGTTCCACAAGCAACAACTAGTCTTTTGGAGTTGGAAAGCAGCTTGATTTTTTGTTTTGTTTTGTTTTTGCTGGGAATTCTACTCCACAATTTTCTCAGGTTATTTTGAACTTACTTGCTAATAGCAAAGCTGAGATACTGCGTTAGACAGATAACAGTTCTTATGCAGTCGGCTAATTCAGAATTTTTTAAACATGTGACCATCTAAAATAGATCTCCTGCCAATTTTCTTGCTCATATTCTTACATTACGACTGGACTCATTTAATTACCAATTAAAAGAATATATGTGATCCAGTTATTATTTATCTAGACTTTTTACAGGATGCTCTAAAATAGTTTAAGTGGAAACTAAACAAAAAAGCCTGTATATTCCTTTGATTCCTTCCCCACAAATCTCGAATGAATGACATTAAAATTAATGTAAACGTTGAAGTGATGAGTAAAAACACGTTGAAATGTCTAACATATTCTCAAATCAGACAGAAAAAAACCCACTGAGATAAAATAGATATTGTGAATGTCCTGCTTCCATATTTAAACCTGAATACTGGTTTTTGCATAACAAGGACTTTAAAAAAAAGCTGAATATAATTTGAATAGAGTGTTCAATAACTATCCATACTACAGCTTCAAATATTATGTTCCTGTCTGGATTCTTTCCAAGAAACTGGAATTATACATAAATATTAAGAAACTAGTTCTTGTTAGGATGTTAATTAGTTACTTGCACTTCTTTGTCCCTGCCCATTTTACAGTTATAGTTAACAAATGTAATTATATTCGTTTAGCAGTATGCCTTTGCAATGGACCATGTATCTTTGGAATGCAGAATGTAGTTTAAGCGAGATGGCAATAAATGCACATGCCGTGTTATATTCCGATTTTATTTTTTGCTATCAAACAGGTGTTAAATGTGCCAAAACATGTATTAACATAACACCTGCTAATATACAATCTCAAAAATGGATGCAAATATCAAATTATAAACTTCAAAGATCCTGATATTAATTTACCTGAACATGATACAACCTGGGCACTGCTATCGTGGGATTCTCTCAGAGATATACCAGATGGCTTAGCATTCTCTGAGTAGTCTACCTATTCTGACAAAGAAAAACATTGTTTGAGGAAGTGGGTCATATGTGTGTAGAGATGTTTGCTGGAAAGTCCAGGAATTCCATGATTCTGGTCAGTGTACCACTGAAAAGAAAGAAAAAGGAAGTCATAAACACACATGCTCTCTTCAATTCTGTATTAATTAAAAAATACCAGAATTTTTTGTATTGCCATATAGAAGAATATACATGTCTCAAATAAATAACTTCTTACATGCACTGATAGGATAGGATAGAAGGGAATGGATTTGAATGAAATTGGGGTGATTTAGGAAGGTTAGATGTTAGGAAGAAATTCTTTACTTGGTGAGGTGAGGTATTGGAACTATTTGACTAGAGGAGCAGTGGTTGCCCCATCCCTGAACATGTTCAAGGCCAGGTTGGATGGGGCCCTAGGCATCTTGATTTAGTGGATGGCAACCCCGCCCATGGCAGGGATTGGAACTGGGTAGGCTTTAAGATCCCTTTCAACCCAACTAATTCAAAGAGCCTATGAAGAGCAGAATTGTTCTGTCTTCTCATTTAAGGAGTAAGAGGCACCTTTGGAATGTAAAATCTGATTCCTTTATGCTGGTTGTATCAGAATTTTAAGTAGACAGGCTTGTTTTTTTGTTTTTTTTGTTTTTTTTGTTTTTTTTTTTTTTTGTGTGTGTGTGTGTGTGTGTGCGTGTGTGTGTGTGCTATGCTCCTCTGAATTCTGCCTGTTCTAAAGCCTAACTGTTTAAACAGGTTTTTTTCTAATTTTCAACCTCAATGTGTTTGTGAGTAGTTTACTTTCACTTGGTCTTGTGCCAACTGTCTTTTTGCTTCAATAGCTTTTTGTTTCCTCTGTATTTCTCCTCCACTGTATTCATAGGCAGCAATCATATTGTTTTCTAAATTTTGCTTTACTAGGCTAAAAATATTCTGCTTTCATTAAGTAAGTCAGAGATGTTCCCCAGATTATCCTAACACTACTGAAACTCTACTACAGCTGAACAGTAATGACTGAAACTGCAGACAGTATTCCATGTACTTTTCCAGATACTTGACAAATGGCCCAGGTTTGCTAAATAACAGTGAAAACAGGAAATGTGGAATTCACTTGCAGAAATACCAAGTACAGGGGGATCCATGTCTGATCCATATTCAAGGTGTTCATTGACCTGGGAAAGTGATCTGAAGCAGAAGGCCAATATGTTTGATAAAAGACAGATACTTTTGTCACTAGGCTGGAGAAAGCACATGCAGAAGAACAGATTAACACCTAATTCAGTGTTACTTTTCCTCTGTTCATTTCTCATATATATCCTCTAACCTCTCATCTACGTGTTTCTCTGCTTGCCTGCATCATCTTCCCCAGGTAAATTTTGTAGACAACTTATTTGTTTTTTCATGTCCTCGACATACTACTTTGATACCTCATTCCCTTTTTCCCTTGATTCGCCTTCTGCCTGTAACAAGCATGTCAGGTCAAGACAGAATCCATCAGAATCACTGACAGTTTTGGTCCCAGAAGCCAGTTCTTTCATCTTCCTTGCGTTTATTAGCTATCATCAAATTTTAGAAAGGAGGTTGGACTCTCATTCTTCTCCCTGGCTCATTTTAAAAGCTTCTACGTTATACTAGATAATTGAGAAGTTCTGTTAAAATACAGAAAGAGGTTTGAGGGGAAGAGCAAACAAATCCTTTGAAGAATAAATGATTTGTAAACAATAAAAAATGCAGTAAAATTGCCAGATCTTGCTGAACTGGGTTCTTAAAAACATCAACAAATAACATCAACATATCAGATAAGCTTATTGATAAAGCCGTAAACCACTGTTCAAAATTGAAAAATAGTCTGTTATTTACCATTGCCTGAAAATCCACCTGTGCATTAACCAGAGCTTTTGCAATTTGTGCTGAGTTCTGAAAATGTACGTTATCTGAAAAAGCAAAAAAAAAAAAAAAAAAAAAAGACTGGCTGTTGAAATGTGTAAATACCACAAAGCATAAAATTCTAGTGCATTAAGTTGTGTCCACTGGTTATCAAACAATACAGTTGACATAACTAAGAACGAGCAAGCATCTAATAATATGTTGCATAGAAATCTATCAAAGATCTAAGTACTGATCCTAATCAAATGCACAGAAAGATACTTAATGTTTTTCAAACAAAGTGATTCTGGTTCTGTATTTGTACTACCATTTGCAAACCTCACCATCTGCTGTTCCATGAATGAGAAGATACTCAACGTTTTGGAAATTCTTTGCTCTTGCCATTACAGTTGAGTTCTGTTGAGATGAAAAGTGAACAGTTCAGCAGCTTCAATTTAAAACACTAAGTCATGGAGCTGAAAGGCTTAAATTACCCAGTGAAACAGCAATCAAACAGTTGGACTGGCATAATAAAGAAAGCAGTAACTTCATCGCAATCTGAGATTAATAGAAACTAAATACATTTATAGGCACTTCACAAAAAGCACAGTACCCAGCATGTGTCATTTTCTGAACACTGTAATTCCTGGCTACATAGAGCAGCTCTATGAAGGCAGTTTGGTATTGAGCACTGCTGCTATTTGGATTAGGACAGAGAATAGACATTGATAATATAGAAACATCTATCCACATCTCCCCTGAGCAACCTGTGCCAGGGTCTCACCTCCGAGTAATGAATTTCTTCCTAATATCTAACCTAAGTATCCCCTTTTTTAGTTTAAAGTCATTCTCTCTTTTCCTATCACTATGAGACCACATAAAAAGTCAGTTTCCCCTTCCTGCTTGTAAGCTCCTTTCAAAGTCCTAGAAGGTCACCCCAGAAGCTTTTTCTTCTCCAGTTGGAACAAGCCCAGCTGCCTTAGCCCTTCTTCGTAAGAGAGGTGATCCAGCCTTCTGATCATAGCACAAAATCCTTAATAGAATGCTTTCTCTAGCTTCTCTGGGTTTATTTCAGGCTTGTCTGTATTGAGAGCTGGAATGTGTGCTGCTAGAGGAAGCTATAGATTTCCTATCAATGTGAAGAAAAGCAAAAAATGCAATCTGCTCCTGCAGAAGAATGCGTTCTGACTTTTTAGTCTGAAGACATTATTATCAGACAACTAAACTGGCATAACATAGCGAATATTACTGACCAAAACCTAGTAAACACCAACATTTTAACCTCTATCACGTGTTCTTTCCTAAGTTAATGATTTGCAGTGTCAAAACAGACAGATTTTTCCAGTGAGAAAATAGGAATCCTACAATTTATCATACCTAAGATTGATCAATATAAAAACTGTGAGTAACTACAGAGATATGAGTTTCAGAACAGCAGCTTTAGCTGCTACAGGGGTGCCATTGTGCGAGCATTATATTTTCACTATTCTGCTTGTCTATGGAAATGTGAATCATGTTTAAAGCAAATGAAAAAGAAAGAATTCTCACCTTATAGTGCTCAAGATTATCGGACTCTATAGGAAGACCCATAAATCGTTCTGTGTAGATAGATGCTGTGATATTAAAGAAGAAAAAAGCAATAGATAAAGAATGCAGATTGTGCCTCCAGTGACGCATAGAAAATTGAACGATTATGTTAACTATATCTGTTCTGCTTGATTTCCTTATAACACAACAAATCTAAACATATTAAAAAATATGAAGGATAGTTAATACATCTCCTCCTAACAGTCCTTGCACAAATAGTGGTTTGATACTCATCTGCAGAAACAAGATTTTGTGGATAAATACAATTAACTGATGCTACTTTATGCTACTGGTTTGAACTCCTGAAGTCAGTTGAGTGAGTCACATTGTTGAATAATTTCAGTGTGGTGGAAAGATAGTACAGACTACCGTCAGGAAAAAAAAAACCCAGAGAAGAATTTCAGCCTGGGATGCACATGAATGTTTACACTTAACATGGAAGAAATGTTCTTTTTTCTTTTTCCTATGGGTCAGTATATTTATGGGGAAACATACAAATACTTGTGGGGGAACAGGAAAAGATAAAGACTTGCATTGAAAAAATATTATAATCACTTTTCAGTCTCTGTCCAGTTCCTTTGTCTAACTGCAATGAAGTTTGTTAATGGATTTGAAAATAAAAACAAGAACGAATAACTGAACAGTATGCAACACCAAGAAACCATTAGGAACAGCTTCCTTTGAGCTGCCTGTATGTTTGTAATTTAACTGAAAGCAGTTATGAAAATCTGTGTAAAACTGATGTAACAGCTGTCACTACAAGAACATTATTTATGACTATCATTGAAAGAGTTACTGGCAAATACTGAGTTGTCAAGCTGCAGTACTATGAGATTTTATTTATTTTATGCAGACAAGGCTTTTTGATGATGAAAAGCTGGCATCTTTCTTTCACATAACAGAAGTGCTGGCCACTATAATTATTAAGAAATTGAGGTTAGAAAGAACCTCTGGATCCTCCTGTACATGCAGGGCCTTATAGAGCTGGTTATTTACAACTACATTAGCTGTATCTAGATGGCTTCTGATTATCTTCAAGGTGGGAGACTCCACAAACACCCTGTGCAACCTGTGTCAGCATTTTACCCACACAGTAGATATGTGTTTCCAGATGAACCTCCCGTGTTTGACTTTGTGCCCACTGTCTCTTGCCTCGGCGTCACTGGAAAGAGTCTGTCTATCCTCTTTGCACCCTCCCTTCACATATTTATACACACTGATAACATTCCAAGTCTCCTTGTGCCTTCCTAAACCAAGAAGTAAGTCTCCCATAGATATTTTCTAATAAACTAAGTGTAGAAAAACCTAAGTAGCTCATCTTTTATCAAAATCCTTTATCATTCAATGAAAACAGAAAATGTGCAATATCTGTTGTCAACACAGTGTCAAACAACCATATTGGGCTTGAGTTTTCAATAAAATAATCTCTTTTTGAATGGCTGGCATTTCTACAGCATTTTGAGCCAAATTCTCCTCTCTCTTCTACCAGTATAGCTACAAGTCCACTGAGGTCAGCAAGAATAGTGTTACAATGACTAAGTGGAAGATTCAGCTTGTCAATTACTGAAGAAAAAAAGAGAGAGATTGAGCGGTCACATATTTAATGTTTTAAATATACATTGTCCCTAAATGCAATTTGCCTTATAATCGTTCAGCTGCTATATTAACTGACAGAAAATGGAGGTGAGCGGGAAGTTTTTAGAAAAAAATTATGCTCCAAACTAACCTACGCATCTAAAAGAAAGCAGTACTAAATTTATAAGCCAGTACATCCTCTGACATTACAACTCTTCTTGGAGTCTCAGATATGTAGCATCCTGTAGTTTTGCCCCTAACATAGTTCACCAATATTAACGTGTTCTGTTTGCCAAAATTAATGACTAATGACTTTGTTCTGCTTCCTTTCTTCCTTCCTTTGGGAGTACTTCTGCCTGCCTAGATTTTCAAATGCACTTTTAGAAAGACTCCTTAATAATCCCTTGAAAACTCAACTAAAGTGAGACTTTTGCAAAAATAGTGCCTAATGCCTGCATTCTAGAAATAATTTTGTGATCACGAGCGAAGATGTCTTCAAAAAACATTCATGCCAGTGAAAACATGAAGACTATGCTTCCTGTGTCATACAAATGTTTTCCCCTTTGTTTGCAAAACACCATAAATACAAGGAATGTCTGTTCTAGCAGTAAGGGAAGCAATCCTTTCCATTTAACCAAAATTTTTTTTCATAACCAGGACTTCTTAGCAAACGACCATATGCTAAGTAAATGTGTTCAAAGTGCTACATTTTCCTCACTGAAAACATGCATGGCATGATTCTTTTTTACACTAAGGTTCCTTTACGCCATGCCAAAAGATAGCAGGTCTGCAAGTATGAGCATGCATCTGCTTTATTCGCACAGTACGGCCCTCAGATTATACTCCCAGAGATTCTTCAAAACAGTTTGGAGTCTTAGTCAGTAAAAGTTAAGAAAAATATGGCTTATAACACAAAAGCAGGGGTGTGGCTAAGAAAAATCCAAATAAAAATCAAAAATAGGAATTCAGACATAAATGTGTTCCTCTCTTTTTCTCTACTTTTTGGAAATAGCCTTGCAATCATCATTGATAGTCATTCATGACAGAGTTCATTTTCAGATGAAGTTGGAGTGTACTGTGACTACAACACAGGTATAAAAACAGTTCAGCTGTTTCTGAACTCAGTGATACAATTTTAACAGGATTTTTTTCAGGAAGATCACTCCAGAGTATGGTGGTTTACTGAGAGGGCTTTACACCCTAACACTTACAGATGTGCATTTGGAATTGTGACAAAATCGGTCTCAAACTGTCAATTGCAGTTTGTTATTTTCAGTAAGGAAAATGTTAAACTTAAGGTCTTAAGAGTTTAGTGTTTAGGTAATTGCACTGCCTTTAGGTTTCATATTGCCATTCTCTTGCAATGAATTCATTTAGAAAGTCATTAAATGCCGCATCTCTTTCCAAGTCAGCTTTTATGACAAGTTTCCTTACCATAATATTCCCAGCTGGAAACAGGAGCCACAGCTATTCCACATTTAAATACTCCACTGCCAGATCCAAGTGCCAGAGAAGTTACATATCCACCATAGGACTGGGAAGAAATCAGAGATAGTTTAATACTACTGTGAAGGACCATTTTGTTCTCCAGATCAAACTCGTATATTAATTTCAAACTAAGTATTTTGCTTTAAGTACACAGAGGATTTACATTTTGATTTTGAATGGATCTGATATAAATCTTCTGGAAAAGACAAACAGTAAAAAAATAAAATACAACGTCTTTCTAAATGATAATCAGAAAAAAATGAACATATATAAAGAGAAAAGTATTAGAAAGTGTTAATGAGTGGCTATCATAACAGTTCATTTTGTAAACTTGCCTGTTACTGCTGGTTAATCAATATTGATTTACCTGGAGAGTGAGAAAAGGTGGATAACGTGTCTGGCTTCCAATCCCTTTTGTCATTCCTTACAGTACTGTCCCTTATCCACAATACCCTTAGGCATTGTTTATCATTGCTCTCCTGCAATTCTCTGTTACGCTGCAGACACTAAGCAGTCTAGGAATCAGGGTTCCCGTAATGTTTGTGCATTCTTTAGCTAGATATAAATGATGAACAGTTGAGCCTAAAAAACTTAAAAATTTCTATAAGGGGGCTGTGTGGCTGCCCCTATAGTTATCTTAGGCCAACTCTTTTCTAGAGAGGAATAAGGAAGAACTATATGCAATTACATTACAGGATTATTTCCAGATAAATGAATATAAAAAGATAAACCACTTACCCAGCCCCATATTGCTATTCGTTTCTCATCAATAAAACCCATTTCTATGAATTTCCTGTGGAAAAAAAAAATAGAAATAAATGTATTATTGCAAAACAAGAATGTTAATACTATACTGAATTAGCAAAAAATATTTTTCTCACTTTTTTCAAACATCATGCCAATTTCAGCAAATTGACAATCAACATAGCGTATCTGATTTCTACAAAGCATTTGACTAGCAGACATTTCAGAGGAAAGGAAAATCTTTTCTTCAATGAATAAAAATAGCAAAAATGAATAGTTTATTTGCATAATATTTTTTGCTCCAGAGGATAAAATGAGGACTCTACACAACTATCATCTTGTAAAAAAAAAAAAAAAAAGTTGTTTTCAATACCTAATGTCTACCTGGATATAATGCCCTGACTCTCCAAATTAAGCTTCATATATTAAGGAAAATGTTGGGTCAAGACAGAAAGAGATAAAATTGGGTTCAGATACATCCCAGGAGATACATCAGCAGCTGTTAGCCTTATTTTACTAGGGCAAGCACAAATGACAGGCAATACCTAAAATATCCAATGCGGTCTGGGTGGAACCAAATTAGGTGAGCCAAAAAGTGATTCAGCTTTGTTACATTGCTGTCTTAACCCATGGGGTTCCTCCTATAGTAAAAGTCCCTCCAAGATCTTCCCACTAGAATATATGATTGATTTTCTCTAAAAATCTTGCATCTTAAACCATGTGTTAGATCAGGAAGATGGAATGCAATGCATTTAACTGAATAAAAATTTAACCTAGGTGCTGACAGAAAGTTGGGAGGTGTGAAATCTGAGGTCATTTTTTCACAGCTTGTCTCAGCAAATTCTGCAACTGCAGAATCAGATTCCCTCCATCTCTGGCATTTTATGTCCAAGTGACAATTTGGACTAATTTCTCTCTCTTTAAACATGTTGTTGCTGCTAAAAGATTCAAGAAATACAATAAAATTATGTATTACATTGAAAAACTTAGCATGATAAACAGAAATTCTGTTTCACTTATCACTGAAAACAATAATTATGTGTTTATATCATTGAGGTGGAAAAGGAATTATCACAAAGCAGGAACAGACATCCTCCTCACATACATTTATGAATGCAGGCAATGTTCTTAAGCAAGTAGAAAAGGCAGTGGGATCCTGGACTTTCATATCCAATTTCTAACTACTGTTACTACTGGGCCCATTAACTAGGGAAATATTATTAAATACCTGGAATTTTATCCATGCTCTGATAGGACAAATTCAAGATCAAAACAAAGAATAAATTTCTTATTTTTGTACTAACATTCTTACTCTCCTATTCTTGTAAGGTTCAAACTAAACAATTCTTTAAATGTTCACTTCAACAGTGCTACTGCATCTGTTAAGTTAACAGACACACTCACTTTACAAAACCTCAGCTTTCTCTCCCCTGCAAAATCTCTGCTTAAGGACTTGTTTCCCGTTAGGAACCTCTTAAGTATTTCTGTGCAGGGGTGTAAATTGTGGGGAACAGCTACTACTGGAGGAGCTCAGATACTTTCTGATTTTTATAAGTATTTTAAGATGGCTTGGAAAAGAAGTTACGAAAAAGCCAGAGTCAGGATTCAGTTTTTTTATGTTTGACTTTTAGCTAAAAACTATGGTCCACCACTGGCTAAAATCATGGGATCTTTAGCTAATTTCTATGATGGTTGAGGTAGATTTCCCCTACAGGGAAGACTTCAGGGTAGTGGAAAATACATTAGCTTACCTCTCACCACTGATGCTCATACTTCCTTAGGCCTCTGATGTTGCCCTTACAAAATGAAAGTGCTGAGATCCAAATACATATTTGGTAGTGGATGTAGTACACCACACAAAACCAAATTGACACCAAATACCTCACTAGTATTTTATTTCTACAAGTTTTACATTTATTTCCTGGAGACTTCAAGCTTTCCAGAAGAAAGGTGCAGGAGTACATTTAATCTATCTTTTTTTCCACGCTTTTTGTAGTTGTGTAAGTACAACGATTTTATTGGGAGACATTCTACTTACTTCACTGCTGAGATTTGGTCCTCAACTTCATAGACTCCTAGTCTTCGATAAACTGCATGCAAAATCTTGTCACCTTGATAAGCTGTTCCTCTGCCATCTACTAAAGCAACAACAATTCCCTCTTTGCTTGCAAGATAGGTTATCCAGCTAATGCTAAATGTGTGCTTTACATTCTGACTGCATGGTCCTCCATACCTAGAAGGTAAAACATTTTCAACTCAGATTTACAAATGAATACCAGATACAGGACTATAGATAAGTATGACTTATATTTTCTCTACAAGTATTTTGCTAAATGACTATGGTTTAGAGAGTTCAGTAGACAGAAACAGTACTATTAGCATTTTCATGTATTCATGTAATTTTACTTTCTAAAATTCATTTAAATCCTTAATGTCTTATGCCTAAGGCAAGTTCCATTTGTTTTAGCTGAGACGAAGGGGCATGACATCAGGTATCCATCCTAAGGGGAATCTTTAGAAGAGCTATGTTTCAATTTTTAATTACTTCCAAATTCATTGGTATAGAAATTAGGCATGACAGCACTTTTTGATTCTTACCCCCCCCGCCCCCCCCATGATTTCATAGAGTCACCAAGGTTGGAAAACACCTACAAGATCATCCAGTCCAACTGTCCACCTATCACTAATTTGATCCTCACACGTATTACGCATTAACAAAGAAAAAACAACAGAAGTCTTAAGCTTTTTGGTCATTACTAGACCTCTGAATATCATGTACAGTAGGAACTATTGGCTGAACACACCCCACATAGCTGAGCAGTATATAGAAACACTATTTACGACAATGATCTAATACAAGTTATCATGTGACCTCTAGGACATAATTCACTTCATCTTCTGCTCTAAGTTTCAGACAAACATATTTAGCTTTGTTGGGCCTTTGGATCGTCAAAGGATTAGGGTTTTTTTTGACCACTTGTAAGAAAAGCTCTTATATGTTCCATATCAACAAATCTGAAATCAATACACTCAAATTGCTTCAGGATAAATAGAAGCGGCAACTGAACTAGGAAATCCAAGCAATAAATGATGTGCCTTTATTCCTTTCCTTTCACTAAGGAACTAACCCTTGCTATGATAAGAAAACTTCATTGATTTCCCTTAAGTTGAATTTCTACACCAGAAATATATTAAACAAACAAACAAAATAAAAACAAAATAGTTATAGTTTGTCTTTTGCATTACAAAATACTGCAAACATTTTAGATTTCCCTAAATTATAATGAGTATTTTTATGACAGAACTGTAAAATTGAAAGAAATAAATTCTTACATACACTTGAATAAGCAGTGGGTACTTCTTGGATCTATCAAATTGTGGAGGTATAAGCATTTTGTACCACAAAGCTAGAAGAGACGTATCAAAGTTATATCACTAATGGTTACAATGATTTCTCTAAGCACAATCCGGTTCGATGAAATACTAATGAAATAGTAATAGAAAATGAATCAGCACAAATTACAGAGTGCATAAAAGGTAAACCACAAAATTCATACAAGTAATTGTTTATGTTGAACTGTTTAAAAATAATTTTGAAAAAAAAAAAGTGCCCATTTTTATTATTTAAATTATGTTATGTATAAAGTTATGACTTTAACTAGGTTTCTAGTTTTCCTGGTGTCTAAAAATACACAACTAGGAGTATAACTGTTACTAAGATTTTGAGAAATGAGTTTTGGAAACATTACAATGATTCACTACAATGGAATATTATTCGTAAATTTACTAAGGAAAACAACAGTGTATGCAAGTCAATATAACATATAAATGGCAGTTTATGTTTCATTTTTTATTACCACCATATTATGATGTTTTTATGTGATATTTAAACACTACAGCAATATTGCTAATTTTTTTTTTAATTGCATCATGAAGAAGAAATGTGTTTTAAATTTTGTTTTATTTATGTATACACTGAGGAACACACAGGTCACTGTCACAAAAGGCAGAATGATGGTCAGATTTCCAATCTAACATGCTAACAAGTTTGATCTACAAAAAGATTATACTTATTATAACAAAATGAAGGCATAATAAAAAAGTTAGGAATAAAAAATATAACAAAAATGTATAATTCTTACTTATACCATCCACTTCAAGTTTATTAATTTCTTCTTTTGGCAGTATGATCTCTTGCAAAGCAGACTGCAATTCCTGATTGTCTTCTAATATTCTGAGCTCTAAGGAAAATAATTGTCCAAATTATTAATTAGCTTATTTGTTAATTTCTCTTTGTTAAATAAGATACGTTTTGTATTATTCGAACAATAAGAAAATCTGTGACAGTTTACAAGGAGAATAACGAAATCTGCTTAGTTCAATTTGGGTTTGATCAAATAGCTAAATAAAAGCAAGGCACAGGGTTGCAGTGCACAAATATTCCTTAATTTTTTATAGGATACATATTTTGCAATGCAAATAATTTCACACACTAGCTGTGAATAATAGAGTTCTGGATGTTAGGAGAAAGCTTTTCTCTTGCAGCACCTCCTTTCCTGCTTATCACAGTATTGTCAGTTTAGACTCTGAGACTCTTGGGCAGTATCGTTAAGCCCATGTATATTTGTGAATATCTTGTTTCTGGGCTAACACAGAATATTTGGTTACTTATGGGGCTGAATCAAACCTACACTTAACTACCTTATTGTATATCCCCACAAAGACACTAGACACACCATATAGTTGTCCTTATTACTGGATTGCTGCACTCTTAGCAAGCTTCATTGCTTGCTTTTCTTTGTTTTGTTTTGCTTTTTTTCTCCGTGGTATTTTATTTTTTACTTTGTTTGAGGCACAATTTACTGTTTTATCATTTTAAAGTCACTATTAATAATTCAGCTAGTTTCTAGTACAGAGCTATATATTATGAATTCACTGGGTATTATTAGTTTTCTTACGCTTTTTTCCAAGAGTACTGGTGAATTAATATTGTAAGTAATAGAAATCTGTGACTTTCATCTTTACTTTCAAAATGAAAGAGAATATTCTTTTAGACTTCAGAAGATCTTTCCTTTGTGAGTTTGGTTTTTTTAGATGTTTGTTGGTTTTTTTTTAGTGGAAAGCACTTCCGTTTTCTGGAAATGCTGAAAAAAAATAACAGTACTACTACTCTCAGCATGTTTTGAGCTAGATTATGCTCAGAAAATAGCAGAAATACAACACTAGAACACTTTCTTTCAAAGTGCTCTGACAATTTTTGCAGATTCAAGTGAATTTTTATGGCTGAAATATCCTCCTAGTTTTGGATTCACATGCAAACTCAGCTGATCCTCATTCCATCCTTCCTTTCTAATCTGAAAGCTGCCCTTTACTACAAATTAATTGTAATCATGTTGAAGGGAGCTTCCAGATTAGCCCATGTCAGTTAAACAATATTTTTTCTGCTAAAATTCACAGGTGATAAATTTTCAAAATGCTGCCAACCAAAATCAAAGTGATCCACAATGATTCTTTCACAGCTTGCAATCCAATCCACAACAATTTGTTTTGCACTAGAAAAGAGACTATGAAAGCAGAGAATTTAAGTAAGATTAATACACAAAAGGACACAAAAGGTCAAAGAAGAGCCTAAGAGTGAGGAACCAGTGGTAAACATCCTTTAAATGAAACTGTTCTCCTGCAGAGAGGTTGAGAAATGCATAACTATGGCTAGGAACTTTGCTGCATTTCATGCAATTCCAATTTTCATAAGGAAGAGAGATATTATGGGCTCTTGGCAAACAAGACTGGGGAGGGGAAGGAACTAGTAGTTGGGGAGGTCAGAATATTTCTTGCTGGAGTTTCAGTCCTGTATAGATAATTACATCTCCTCTGAAACAGTTATTTGAATGGATATTTTTCACAATTCTTCTGCAAAAACTTTCACTCTTCCCTAGTATCTGCTAATGGCTGAAGACCACCCAAATTCTAATTTGTACAGTGCAGTTTCCCAAGTATGAACTCTAAGTACTACACTGAAGCCTATTGCATAGGCTTCTGGTAGAACCGCTTCATGAAAAAAAAAATCAGAAAATCTTGAGCTATAAAAACATACAGTTTTGAAGTCAGAACGAAGTATTCTACAAAGTTTGACTTAAAATTTGATAGACAAAGAGATGCCTATATTAATTTCATCTATAACATATGAACAGATAAAAGAATGTCATAAATTTCTTACGGTCAGAAATGAAAATAAATACATCACTGTATTCCTGAGTGTTAGGATTTTGCTAATTAATAAAATTAGAAAGACAGTAGATATTTTTATAACACTTATACAATATGAGAGGCTTTTTGGTCACAATCCCAAGTGCTACATTAGAGGATCTGAACAGTGAATATCAACAAGAAATACAATTAACTGTCTAGAAATAGGCAGAGTATTTTCAGTACCTCTATCACTCTCATTCTCAAAAAGAGTAGAAATAGGAATCCCAGGACCTGTCATAATAATGAAAGGAAGATCATTTATAGTTTGAAGCCAGAATTTGGTGATAAAGTACAGATTACATTACTGTTGGTAACTGTCAGGAATTAAAGAGCTGAATACAATCAATACTGTTCTAAATCTCATCTACTGAATAGAATTCTAGTTTTTACTGCACAAAATACATAAGGTAACGTGTGTAGACATACATAATACACCTGTATTGCTTTGCAAACATAATAGAAGTAACTTCGAATCTACTGGCAAACTTTTCCTCCATAGAGATGAAGTGACATCTAGTTAATACCTGAGATGTGATTACATAAGGTGACTGTGGAACTAACACTGTGAATCATTCTTTTGAGAACATGTCACATTATATTTGTGAAGGTGACTGGCTTTCATATGGTGATGACCTTACAGACTGTTTTGTGGAAGAATGATTGAAAGGTATTGTTATTAGCCACATTTGGTCTTCTGCTTAACACAGGTCCTAAAAACTGTTCAGCTAATCATTCAGAGAAGAACAGTAAACATTATATAACGAATGCAAAAGGAAAATCTTGGATAGTTTTTCCCCTGCTTTTTTTAGGCTGTAACTTCACTGTACTTTGATTAAGATGGATGAACTCATTACTCATGCTTCTGTGTTATTAGTGGTTTCAATAATCACACATTTTTATGAATTGAATTTTTATTTATTTTATTTACACTTTCTCTTACTAAAAAAATGTTTTCAAGTAGCAAGTATCCAGCATTTTTTGTAGCTGACAGATTTTGATCATTTCAACTGGGGAACACATTGTAATGGTTTCTCAGAGCTACCTTTGATTATATACATAGGAAATCAATCTTTTTCAAAATCCTGCTCTTGTTACTGCAAGAATAACTTTGATGAGTCAACTTCAAAACTGTTTTGTGCCATAGAATATTTTCAAATATTTGTTTTTAATTCTATCAATCCCAAGCCTTTGAGGAAAAATTTATAAAAGTAAAAATATTTGTATTTTCTGAAAAAAAAAAAAAATCCAAGGTTTTTAAATGTGGAAAAAAATGTAGAAAAATTTTTGGTTACAGTGAAATTTCTATGATTCCTTCGGACATTGTTTGCACTAACAGTAACTAACTATGGTTTTGATATATCTGACAGAATAATTGGTTTTATGTTTGTTCCCAGGCTATACATACCATAACAGATCAAGGCATAATACTTAGAGCGCTCACTGAACCTCGCTGTATAATACTGGCATCTCTCTTTCCGTAAATTGCAAGTAATGCATAGTTTTCTGATAGGCTTACTCCCAATACTAATTCTAGGAGAAAAACAAAATACAACAATTATTAATTTTGCTACAACTAACTTTGTATGTGTCTGCCTCACATGCTGGAACAGCGTACCTGGAAAACAGTTCCTTTTAAAAATAAATGTTTTCCCTTTTTCTTATTTTTTTCCTATCAGCATATTTAAACTTTAGATGGTATTTCTTGATTCTCAGATATAAAAAGGCCATGATTTAATTAAAACAGCTTGATGAATTGTACTTTAAACATTTTGAAACAGAATTCTGTTATTGAAAAATCCACACCCATCACCTAGTATCATTAATTCAACATTGATAACACTTACTTGTAAATATTTCTTCTTCCTGGATAGCCTTCAAATTCATTGCTTGAGTAGAAACTGTGAATTAATTTAAATGTTAATAAATAATCCATAAACTGATTATCTGTGAACCAGCATGAAGACAAAAAGATGTCTTGGAAGTTAACTTACACTTTCTCAGATTGCTGCTCATGATGGAAGATTAAACTAAGCTTACATGCACTTCATCTTAGTAAATCTTTGCTCAAACTCTCATTGGGTAATAAATACACCATATAAATAAGAGTTCTGTCTTAATTCTCAAAAGATAATCACCTCAATTGTGTAAGATACATCTAACTGTATGGTGAACCAAATGAGAGACCACATTTCAAATGCAATGGAATAAAACTGAAATAATTTCTATTTGTAGATAGGTTAATCAAATACTTAAAATTAAGCAATCCTAGATAAGACTCTCTTTAAATGGGTGACTGATAATAATCTGAAAGGTTGAGGGCTATTTGCAAAAAATCTACCAAAAATAAACCAAGTCTGCAAACCTGCACATCGCCTTTGCCTATGAATTTGTTGTGAATGCACTCAGTTGGATGCAATATATTTATAGGTAGTTGACAAATGGCTGGTGATATATTGATGAGTTGACAAATGGCTGGTATGTATCAAATGAATAAGTATTACTTCTATTGACAAAATACTCATAACCTATACTCTTCTCAGTGGTACTTACATTGCATCATTTGTTACTCTAAAAATATAAATTGCCTCCCATTCTCCACTTGTAATTTGGATTGCATTCTCCTGTGTGGCAAAATATATAAGTCACTGAATACAGTAAAATTATTTCATAAATTCACGGTATATTAAGGTAGAAAACTTTAATTGACTTACCACAGAACCATTGATGTAATGTATGTGCTTATAACCATTTTTGTCACTAAAAATTTTGTAGTATGATCTGCTGTCTGAGGTAAAATATGGTGCAGAAACAAAGAACTGAAACAAAAGAACATGGTAGATGAGAGGAAAGAAAGAATGTCCAAGCTGTTTAACAGGGTATAGTCTAAAAACTAAAAATAACAGGACTCTATTTCAAAAGTTCAGGTGTAACAATTAACTTCAGAGAAATGTTCACCCATGATATGCACTCTTATTTAGTGAATTACAATTTATAATCTGTCATGTAAGCTTTTTTAAATTGGTAACACTAATACCTAAGGTTGCCCACAAGTACAGGATCTTTACTTGCAGAATGGAATAATTTGTATACACCAAATGATCTGCAGTTACATCAGAATATTTAGAGGTGATTTAAAAAAAAAAAATAAATTCTGAATGAAAATAATATTTGTAAACAGTGCCAGATTGGAATCCTACAAATCATAGAGTTTAGCCGATTCAATGAACAAAAATGACACAGAGTGAAATCAGTATCCAGTCTTTCCCATATTACTATACTAATGTTTAAGAACAGATTATTGCAGATAAAACCATTCAGATTTTACTTCCTTTCAACCCATCACTGCCTTACTTAGACTGTCAGCCAGTTACTGCAACTGTTTTATTTTCAAAATTATGAGGACAATGACTTGTAAAAACTTCAAACTGCACCAAACACTCCTGAGTGGATATGAATAACACTAACACAAACTCAATTAGAAACTGTGACCAAAAGTTAAATTATTCCTAAATCAGCTTCTAATATCTCTAATCTTGGAAATCCCATAAAGGCTAAAGCAGGAATTTATGCTTGTGTACAATTTCACTAATTGTATTAAAAACCTGTCATTACAACCTCTACAGAAGAGGTGAAAAAAGGAAAGGGGCCAAAGGGCTACTCCATTTAGATGTGTAATTTTTACTCAAAAAAAAAAAAAAAAAAACCTCTTAAAGGGAGGCATGCTGATAATTGTGGCTGTGAGTTAAGTCAACTGCAGGATCTTTAGGCAGAGCATGTAATTCCCTATATTAAATTCTGTTAATTTTATCTGCCTGAGAGTAACATAAGAATTAACACATTTTTAATCTCAGAAAGCTGGCAACCAACTACTGTGCCTCACAAAACATAAAACATCATAAACCATGTCTGTGTATTACTGTGTAATAGGTTTGAGGCAGTAGCATTGTGTGACTCCAAATAGTGCTTTGTCATTCAAAACATCACCATGAAGATGCAGAAGTTCCCATTAAATGAAAGCAGAGCACAAGAAAACCTACTCCGCCTGCCCATCCTGTTTGACTCTCCTCTATGTGCTGTTGATTCTGAAAAACAAAATCAAATGTACACTCTTAAAGAAGCTTGTACACTAAAAAATAATCAGATCATGATTAGATTAAATTAAACTAGATTTAAAAGCTTCACCTAAAAAGTCTACCACCTCCTCTAAGAGAAAATTTTAGAATACTTGCTACGGTTATTTTCTTAGTCTGCAGTGCAATAGCAGAGACTTACGGCTGCATCAGCAGTCCCACTGAAGTAAGGTAACACGAGTATTTGTATTTGAAACTATTTCATATATTTCATAAAATAACCTGAGCTAGTATGGTACAGAGAAATCTGAGGCTCTCCACTTTTGTTACTCTGTCTAAGGGGCATTTAAAAGCCCGATTTTCATCACTACTTAAAATCTAACAAAAGGTACTTAGAAGAATTGAAGACTGACGAAAATAACAGTTAGCAAAAACAGCCCAGATTATAACATTTTGAGAATATAAATTAATCTAGTTTTAACTCCCCGTAACATTCTTGAATATGATTTTTTTTATAAAGTGTTATGCTGAGTATAAGTGGATCAGTGCCTCCTTCTTAGAGGTGCTTATATATGTGTGTGTTTTACTTCCAAAGTTACAAAAAACATACTCAATGTTTTCCTACGATTTTTTTATTGAAGAGTCCTTTTATTAAAGAGTTCTTGCAGAATGGAGCAAGTGATTCAATACTTGCATTCTATAAATGCATTTCTTTAGTTTCCTTGCAAGCTCTGCTTTATATTTTTGTCATTTAATAAAATATTTCTTCACAGAAAAAATTAAGGTCAGCAATTTTGCTTCTAAAGAATATGTTTTATATGTGTTGTTCTCAACAAAATCTTATTAACAGTCAGAATTTTACTTTTTCCCTTCCAACCCTACACCCTGCAAACTGGCTTATTCAAGCAAGCATTGTAGGTGCTTGCTCCTTAGAATTTTGTTTAGTACTTTGCAAGGGCTCCAATGAGCCATTCATTTAGTAGATGGACTTTTTTCTTATTAAGATAAGAAAAAACAGAAGTATTATTTTATATCTGCACCATAGATTTGTCTTAGTTCAAATTAAGGTTCACATCCTGATTACATAATACGTAAAGAATATATTTAACTTTCCTCATATGAGTCGTTCCATGGCCTCTGTGGGATTTTTCTGTTATTAAAGCATTTGCAGAATTTAGAGACTTGGCATATTTATAGTAAACCCCAGTTTTACAAACACATATTTACATGCCTAGCTTTAACTCACAGAAATAATTCCACTGAAGTCATAGTTGTTTCTCTGGTTTATTCACAACAAAAAGAACTTGAACACATGAATATTTTTGATGAATCAGCACTTTAGGAACATCCTGTGGATTATATTTTGTTATTAATTTCAAGTACATAAAGCCTAGTACATTTATTGTACATTAGTCTCAATTTAATCTGAAATCAACAAGAAAACTACTTTTGCTGATGTAAACACACAGAGATACACTTCCTAACAGCAAATAGAGCTAATGCAGCACTCCCATCTGTTCACACTCCTCCAATTGGCCATTTGTGCAAACTTTAATGTGATAAAAGCATTGTATCACTGTATAAATATAGAATTATAGAAACGTCAGTAGTGATTCCATAAATAAAGTTTCATGGAGAAATGCAATTAAACAAGGATCATGAACACAGTCCTGCAAGATATTAATTGTTCTGGTCTGGTTCCAGCAAAGCAATTAAGCACATGCTAAATTTTAAACACATATATAGTCCTACTGACACAAATTAAACTGGTTACTTGCTTTAAGTTGTTTGGTGAATTGTGCTAAAATTCTAGATTTCTTTATTTATTTTTTATACTCTTTAATACTATGTTTTAACAATTATTAAAATGCAAATGATTTTGAGGTAAGATATAGAATCAGCATTAATGTACTCGTATACAGGAGCAATGACTTAAGAAAGACATCAAATACTGCCATAAATATATATTTTGTCCTGATGAACTCTAGTTATTTCTCCGTGGAATCAATAAAAGCTTTGAAAGAACAGGAGCTCAGCTTCCTTTCAAATTTTCAACTATTGTTTTATTATAGAGGAATAAGTATTTTCAACTTGGAAAGGCTATGTCAACAAACCATAAGACTATAACATACAAGTTATACAGAAGATTATAATCAAGTATGCTATATGATTCCACTTTGAAAATGAAGAGGCAAGAAGGAACTGAGCAACAATTTTGAAAGCTAGTCAATACACTCTTGTTATTTTTATTGCTTTGATTGTTACTTGAACCTCACTAAAAATATATTTTGGTGATTTTTCCTGCTGTTGCCATTAGAATTTTTTCATTCTTCCTTCAAACAGCATTTACAATATTGAAGAGGTTATCTTTATTAGCTGAAAGATGAATGTGATCAAACACTGGAAAATAAAATTACTTTCCTAAAGTCATTGAAATATTAAATATACTTTTTGAGTAAATCAGAGCAATTTGTGCACAATGAGTAGATGTTAAAATAGGACAATTCAACAGAAAGTAGCACATGCTAATTCCAGCAACATATATATTTCCAAATTTATTACCTCTGGACAGACCCAAGTATTTGAATTTTCTTTGAAGTCACAAATAGCTAAGACTGAAAAATTCTGGATTCTCTTTAGCCACTGCACACCAACTCGATTATCTGTTACCCAAGTAAGCCAAGTAAAATAATGATCACTAAAAAAATAAATGAAAGAGAAAGAATGATTATTAAAGAGCAGGAACACAGAAAAATTGCTACAGGCTATAAACCCTATTTTTCTCTGTGGAAGACAACAGCAAATCTTCTATCAGGAATTTTTTTTGTTCTTTGTAACAATATATCATATGAGCACACATAATCAATGTATATATATATATATATATATATATATATACACATCTTCTGATGTATCTGTGAGATTAATATGGCACTCCACTGTTAACAAAACAATTCAGAGTTTCAAGCATATAAAACAAGCAGACAAAAAGTTTTTTAAAATACTCTGATGACATATTTTGAGGGCACAATACCTTGATGCGATCACTGCAGGAACTGGAACCTCTTTAGGACCAAATGCTTCAATGTTAATAGTGTCTACAATAAACACTTTAACAGTAGGATTTTTAGCACCAGCCTTCAAAAAAAAATGTATGAGGTTATTCAAATGTAGATAAAATTCAGATCTAGGAAAATGACAACAGCTTTTGTGGGATAGAAAATAGGATACAAAATATTTATTCAGTTGAGTACCACATTTCAAATGTGATCTTATAAGACCTTGTACGTGACCCTACAGAAGTAGTTATTTAATTTTGCTCTATTATATAAATAAAGAAGAAAACCTTTTGAACAGTCCAATTCTGTGCCTTTCTGTACTAAAACGTAATGCTTGATGTGAACCAGAGTTGTATTTGCAGTGTGGATCTCTGCAGTACACCCTACATTTTGCAACAAAACTTGGCTGACAAATGAGACCTTGTTAAAACCCATTAACATGATCACTCGTAGTCATACAAAGATGATGAGTCATAGAGTTTGTACATGGTGAAAAAGGCAAAACCAAGAGGTTCTTGCCTTAAATTTGGCACTAAAAAACTGGTAGAATCCCAAGCCCTTGAGAACAAAGCACACTATGAAGCCTGCAAATAAACTGAATCTGTCATACCTTTTATTTCACAAAAACAATTTAAAAAATGTCTCCTAGTTGACATACCGTATTGGAAAATAACAACTCCACAGTTAATACATCACAGAAAGTAAACTGAATTGAAAAAAAGGCTTGACCATGCAAACATGCTCTTTCCTATATACCTTTTACTTACATGAGGAATTCTGTTTATTTCACTAACACTATTTAATATGTATAGTTTTGAGTGTGCCTATATCTTTTTATAATTTGGCTTACGTTTGCTTTCATTCATTAATTTAGGCCACAATGTATTTAAGCACTGTAATACAAACATTTTTTAAGCACAACTAATTTTATAGTTATTATAACATATTTCTCAACAGAAAGTCAAAGAATGATAAACATACCTTGGGATATGGGATAATTATTTTTCTTGGGTACTGTTCCTCACCAAAATATGAATATTCAATTACTGGTATGTCAGAATCATTAAACTGTACATATGCTAAGTATTTTCCACTTGGAGACCACCACAATGCATATTTTGTCGCTAGCATTTCCTCTGAGAAAAAAGAAATTGTTCATAATAGTTTCTCAGTGCAATTAATCTATCTTCTAATCTATTTTATCATTTTACCCTTACCAGCCTAGACATGCAAAAAGAGTTATACTAGATAGATAACAAGATGTACATCAAACCTATTGCTATACATCTCATATGTGAAAGGCCTTGAGAACTCCCAAAACATGTACAAACTGCATTTAACTCACTTGGATTATTCAAGTGCACGAGTTTATTATTTTATGCATTGAAGTGCCAAATAATCAACCAACCTTTAAATTTTCCCTAAAGCTTAATTGTCAACCATTACCTACATAGTAGAATGAGGATAACAATTTGTAAAGTTCTGACATAGTTTCGGTAACTAAATACTCAGGATTTTGCTTACACAGAATGAATGCAAAATGCAGTCATTGGCAGGTAATTTACATCTAGCCATAGAGATAGAGATAGATTCTAAGATAGATAGATTATTCTTAATGATAGTATTACCTTATTTTTTTTTTTTTTTAAAAAAAAAGCTGCAGCATACATTTCCAAGTTCTGCTGTTTTGGCAGATTCTACCAATATACATTTCCTTAAAAGCTTTGAAGAATCCATCTTACCCCTTCTCCAGCTTATTTTTCCCCCAGATTATAAATTTCATTGCCAAAACATACATCTGCAAAGTCTCACTGTATATAAATTTCCACCTCTCTCCTTCTCTATAGCTCTGATTCTTCTCCTGTCCAAAACAAGATCTAATTCTATTTCTCTGCCAATGTCTCACACTACCCTCTGGATGTAAACAATGCCTGTGACTCTGTAACTCTTCTCTGGTAAGCCTCTCTAATTCTCCCTTTTTTAAAGCATTGAGCAAATCATGCTTCTCCTGCCTATAAAGCCCTTCACAGCTTGCTTATACCCCAGCACTCCTCTCTCACTGACTGTGGAAAGATTAACTCTGCCTTCTAATCCATTTGTGATGCCAATTTCCATCTCTTACTTTCTATCCATCCTTCACTAGACGTGGCAGGGAGTGTGACCACTGAGGATAAGGAAAAGGCTTAGGTTCTCAAAGCCTTATTTACATCTATCTTTAAAAGTTGGACTAGTTATTCTTGGGGTACCCTGTGCACTGACCTGGAAGTCTTGGATGGGGAGAAGAATAAACCCCCTGTCCTTCAGGTGTAAACTGTCAGAGACTTAATACTTCACCTGGACTGCTACGAGTCCATGGGGCTGGATAGCATCTACCCAAGGGTGCTGAGGGAGCTGACAGAAATGATAGCCAAGCTGCTTTCCATCACCTATCAGAGTTCCTAGGCAACAAGTTAGGTCCCAGAGGACTGGAAGCTTGCCAAGATGACTCCCAACTACATGACAAATCACGAAGAGGATCCAGGGAACTACAGGCCTGTCAGCCTGACCTTGGTCCCAGGAAAGGTTACTGTGAGACATGGTTTAGTGGGAAATATTTGTGACAGGTTAACAGTTGGACTGGATGATCTTAGAAGTATTTTCCAACCTTGATGATTCTATGATCCTATGATTCCATACTTTCAGTAACATTCTTCACTATTTTATCCAATTTGCCTTGGAATTTTGCCTTGGATTTGCCTTGAAAGCTCATGAGCAGTGCTCAGATGTACAAAGATGGCACGGTTAACAACAACACATGATATAGAAAGGGACTAGCTATATTATGTGAAAGAAAAAATATTCTAGTTTGAATTTGCCACCTTCACATTTGAATGCCCCCTGGCCCCTTACTAAAAGACATTAAAAAGTACGTAGTGATTAGTATACATCACTTAAAACAGTTTCAATAAATGTGACTCCTTTCTCATTCTCTCTCCCCAGAATAAGAAGTACTTACTGGTTCCAAGAAATCCTTATATGGAATAAATAAAGTAATTCTTAGGGCTCTAAAACCATTTAATCAATGATTTAGAAAGGATTATGAGAATTTAGTAATGTAGATTTCACATGTTGTTGCCTTTCAAGATTAACTTACCTTCATAGACCCAATCAGGTATCCCATTAAATATTTCATTTTCTTTTCCATCACTAGTTAGCTGAATTGGTGCCTCTCTTGGACTTTGTTTCAAATAGATATTATTTTGGTAAACATATGCCTAAAGATAAGAAATTTTTTATGAGTACATGCATCAAAAAGAGGGGTTGTCAGATTTTTTGCAGTCAATTTTTTTTTTTGAATAACTGTATTAAAACCTTTGCAAATACTGCAAGAACAAGTACTTCTGTAAATAATTTTTTTCTTATAGGACAAATTCTACATTCAACTATGACTCTCTAATGAAATATAGGACTCTCCTATATAAAAAATATATATATTTTTTTTCCATTTGAATTGTTATTTCTTGTGAGTTTTCTGAAATTAGTATGATGCTTAAAGTATATTTCTTGCATCAATATTCCAAGAATGAACATTTGTAAACTTTCTACTATAGTCAACAGGTCCATAAGAATTAGTAAGAAATAAAATAATTTGAACTATTAAGTAATAATAATAATAACAACAACAATAGAGATTTTTTAATAAAATTTGAGACCACATTTTAAATATGAGATCTTTAAATATCCATATTAAATTCATATGTTATATGGTGTCAAAGACAAACTAATTATTTTTCAGGCCCTGAAAACTGTATTTAATCCTTTACACAGTTACTTTGTCGATGCTTGATACAAGACTGACTAGCTAAGTAAAATACATACTGCCATTAAGAATGCAGATTCTTACATTGAAAAGAGTGAAGTTAAAATTTCACAAATGAAAAACTGTTTGATTTTTTAAAATCATTCTTGTTCATAAATAAGTTTGATACAAATAGGCTTGTCAAAATATGGCCTAATGAAACAATAACCAAAAGGCAAATAAAAGTCTTCTAGCCTTCTTATCTTTACTGACCAATTTATGTCCAACGGGTGACCAGGATATATACTGAATTTTATGTGGAAGCTGATTTTCTGTTACAAAACCACTAAAAAAAGGGAAAGAGGTTGAAATGGCTTTATGTTAACAGTACAAATGCATCATTACACTGTACATTCATATAAAACTCTTGAAGGGCTATATTTTTGTTTCATAAACAAAGCAAAATTAATGTAGGCAGTGAGGCATGCAACATTGTAATTGTGTGCACAATGTGTAACTGAGTGCTGGTGCAGCTGAAGCCTTAGAAAATACACTCAGCGTTCTAAGAAGGCAGTCTTATCCCTTTCTAAAAACTGCACGAGCATCTGCAGGCATTTCCTCAATCTACTATTTGCATTGTAGTTTCAGCAAGCCTCAACAATCAAGGAGGCAAGAACTCAGTGATCACATTGTATTTCCCAGGTTATAACATGCAGAAGCAAGTTCAACAGCAGAGTTTGAGCATCTATTAAGGATCCACAGAGCCACATGCAGTAACTCTCTACTCACTTAAGCTAGTAGTAATTCTGTCACCTTGAGCCAAGAGTTTTCCAAGAATGTAGCTTAGTGCAGTCCCTGCTCAGAACTAAGAAGCTTTTAGTCATTCTGTGACTTCTGGCATAAAAACATGAATGGGAAAGCAGATGGCCTTTAGTAGAAAGCAAAAGAAGAATGGTCTGGGGAAGATCTTGGGAAAGAGACCAAATGCCATGGCAGGAGCTGAAAGTTTCTGGGGAACCCAAGACTTTACAAGTTCACTGAAGGACATGTGAGATTTTTAGGAAAGCTGAAGATTGAATTAATAAAAAAAATTGATGAATTAAGAAAAAAGAAAAGGGAAGGAGACAGCTGGTGTGATACTGAAGTGGACTATAGCAGCCAAAAAGGGTGGGATAAAACTATGCAATGAAAAAAAAAAGAAGGTGAGAATCTTGAGCAGTCAAAGTTTTAGGGTATGAAGTATAAAGCAATCCACATATTTGGATGAGTAGATGAATGGACTGTAGAATTTTCTCAGAGGCAAGAAATCTTTTGATTTTTCAAAAATAATAGATAACAATAATCAAGTAAACAAGTGACAGTTTCAAGTAAAAGCCAAGCAGCAGATAGTCACATTGCTATAGAATTTTTCAATGAATTGCTTGCAAGTATATTTTTACAGAGCATCACCATAGCTCTTCGTAAAAAATACCACGCCTTACCCATATATAAGATCATAAATGTGGTATGATGCAGTATAAGAATATCTCCACAGCTGCAAAAATTAAGCAAGAAAAAAAAAAATTAAATTGGAAAAAAAGATGATTTAAGTAACAATCATCAGATGGCTTTCACAGCCTTTCACTTTACTCAAGAAAAGACTGAAAAAAATTCATGCATAGTAACCACACATACTGAATGAAATCAAACATTTCATTAAGCAACATATAAAATAATTACCTTTGAATAGTTGCTCTCCAAAGCTATGAAGTATTTGTCTGATGATATCACATAATTTGAAGCATTAACTTGTTTCTGAAAGGTTAAGATGTATATTAGATTCTAGCAAACACTATGAATTGATTTGTCAAGTTTTAATTTGATTACTTTTAAAGAGATACTTGGAGCACAACTGCATTTTACTGCCTTTTTATTAGTTGAAAAGATACATACCATTGTGCTGTTGGTCATAATGGTAGTTACGTAGTTCATGTCAACGTTGAAAAGAATAATATCATCTTCTGGATTCTGGTGAAGATATTCACTATCTTAAAAACCAAGATAAATGGGCTGTTACTTCACAAAGAAGATAAAATAGAACAGACCTGTTTACCAAATTATTCACTACCCTTGTCAGTAAGTAGATTTTGAGCAAATCTCTTTAAGTATCTACAAACGCACAGAGGAGAAGTTTTCTACTAATGATGCCAAGTTTTAACAGTTGAAGAAGGTTTCTTAATTATGTTCTCAAGATCATACATTGCATACAGAATCAGCTAGTTAGCTTCATTATAAAATGCCAGATTTTATTCTCAATAGTACATGATCAAGAATACTAGGGACAGATCCATCATATCCCAGCATCACAATATAAAAGCTATTATGAAAACGTTCAACATCCTTGCTTATAATTTTACCAGAATATTCTCATTTTTATAGATTTTAGATGTAATAGCAATACCATGTAACTGTCAGTATGTAAATAACTGCTCTTACTCACATTGCAATGATCCTACATAATGAAGGTGAGTGGCCTCCAATGAGAACTGAATTTAATCCTACCTGTGCTCAAGACATGAGCCACAGTTTGGTAGGATCTGAAGATGAGAATTTTAGTTCCACTTCATAATTCTCATTGCTATAAATAGAGATAAGGAATTGCATGCTGGATGTAGCTTAAGAGAGAGAGAGAGTAACAATTTAAAAGCAGTCTGAAACATTGTATAAGGTTTTCATTAGGGAGGAAACTAGATCACTCTTGGACATTTAGCAAACGCTTACGTGATTTGAGTAAAAGCATTTGTGGTTATCTCAGGCCCCTTATAAAAAGTTATTCAATTTCAGCTCCCTGCTTCAGAAGAAAAGTAGGCATATGGAATGCTGTAGGCATGACTATCTATGGAATTTATGGCATGACTTTTGTGTGAGTTTTGTGACTGTTAAGACGGAAGATAAGCCTAAGTGAGGAAGTTATAAAGAGAGAATGTGAATATCAGGTTTAGGTGGTATGCTGCCTACATACTTCAGAATTCATACAGAATTCTAACAAATGGTGACCTAATTTTTAAATCACATAAGTCATGTCTACATACTTCAAATTGCTAACTGTGAAACTAAAACTGCTGTTAGCAACGTCCTGGAGGGCTTCGGTTCAGTTCTAAAATTGTGGGTTTAAACTAACTTGATAAGACTCCATGTAAATGGGAATTTGGTTTTTGTTTTTGTTTTTTTGTTGTTTTTTTTTTTTTTTTTTTGCTTCTACTGATAAAATAATAACTGCTTGAGGCAATGCACAGATATGAGTGTAGTACTGCAAGTACTAGAATGTAATCCAACCTACCAAAACCTTCTGGTGCTGCTGCAGTTCAGTGATAACAAGAGTAGTATTTTGGACACACATTGACACATACATCAGCAGCAACTAACTTTGTGTCTTTATCTCCTGTGTTAAGGAACTTGATTAGAAACTCATCCTTACTTCCTATGCATTGCTTTGGAACTCAAAATTTTAGCAGTGTTTGTATTTCCATATATAAGAGATAAGAACAGGTTGGCTTCCTGCAGTACTAAGTAATACTGGAAACAAAAACAGGGCCTGCAATACAGGCTACCTCAATTATAATTAATAGCAAGTGAAGAAATGCTGTGACAAGCACAAAAAAGGGAAATTCCTTAAAACATGACTGACACATTGACAAATTTCTTTACCATGATGTATTGAGTATGACAGTAAAAGAAATACAGCAACAAATGGCTCTGTAAAATGATAGTTTATGCTTAACTCAAATATTTCTGTTGCAACATTGAATACTAGGAATTTCTAGAATCCCTGACAGAGGTGTAAATTTAACCTTGAGTTTTGAGTAGCAAATTGTTGAATTTTATTTTTAGCATTTATTTGGAGTAAAGCTGGAAGAAAAGTATATTTCTTAGTATGTGTCAGAAAACACATACTAAAAATGCTTATGTACCTCAGAGAAAAAAAAATTACTTACCTGACACCCAGTACGGAAAATATGTTTTATACTGAAAATTTCCATTCAAGTAATCATCCAGTGTAAGAGCTCTAGGACCATCAGCTGTGGTGACAACTTAGAATGAGACAAAAACCTTCTGTTAAAGCAATGCTGTTACGTGAAACTTTTAAAAAAAATCGTTACTTAGTTAAATATTTCCTCTTATCTACACAGGCTGCTCTGAAAGCAATACCTCCTATTTTATTATGTTGCTGTCAGAGGTGAATGTTGGTGGGATGGCAGAAGAGACTGAACCTTCACACCAACATTCAATTACATGTTGTTGCAGTGGAACAGATGGTTATAGGGGCAATCTGACACAGTAGTGCCTGACATGGAAGCGTGAATGAGGCAGAGGGGTGGAACTGAATTCCTCCATGCAGAAAAAATGGCATCCACTGACATTTATTGACACTCATTGAACATTTATGGAGACCCCACAGTGGATGTGAGCACAGTGAGGTGGTATACATTTCATCAGTGGTAAAACCGACATGGTTCATTTCTGCTGGTGCAGATTTTTAGTGTTTTAGCTGAGAATTTGCTCTATCACATAGTGTTATTGTGCTCTTTTTTATCTGCTATAGTTTCCACAGAAACAAATAGGAGGCATTACCTTCTGACCAACTTACTGTTGTGGTTTAACCCAGTAGGTGGTTCAGCACCACAGAATCATTTGCTCACTCCCCCCTGTCAGTGAGATGAGGGAGAAAATGAAGAAAAAAAAAACAACAAACAGCAATGTAGAACTCATATGTTTAGAGAAAGCTATTTACCAAGATAGATAAAAGGAAAATAGTCCTGACAATATATATGTGTGTATATATATATATATGTGTGTGTGTGTGTATATATAAGTTGGATGCACAAGGAATTGCTCATCAGCCCATAGCCAGTGTCCAGCTAGCCCATCAAACAGCAGAAGAGTGAGACGCACTCCCATCTCCTTCAGAACTCTTTTCACATGATGTCATATGGTATGGGATATCCCCTTGGCATGTTTAAGTCAGCTGTCCTCATTCTGTTCCCTCCCAGCTCCTTGGGACCCTTGCTGAGAATGGCCTTGGCTCTACACAACACTGCTTTGCAGGCAACTATAAACATCAGTGTGTTGTCAATGATGGTTTTCTCCCTGAACCAAAACATAACATCATACCAGATGCTCTGAAGAAAACAATTCCATCACAGCTGAAACTAAGACAACTGCGTATATTTAAGTACCGAAGAAGAGTGAGGATGGCATAATCCTGGAATCATGCAAACAGCACAGAAGAGAGAAAAATTCTGTGTTAATGCTCTTCACCATCTGAAGGATTCTCCTTTAGAGGTACGAAATTAGGAACTAGTTAGTTTAATTAAGTTCACCCAGAAATTTATTTGTTGAGATATATTTACTTGTATACCTTGGGACTACAAGGAAAGCCTCTTACTTACAAATGGCAAATCAAAGTTTTCTTAAAGCATAGGTTTCTTGGACTTGTTTGAACTTATGAGCAGAGAAAACTATTTTAATAAAGATCCATAAGTATTCAGCAGAAATTCAAACAGCAGGTCCATACAAACCTTTACTGTCAAATCTAAAAAAGCCTCATCAGTTCATGCTAGAAGATGGATATGAGAACACCAAAAGGATCCTCATCCACATATATTTCTTAGTAGCTGAATGAAATAAACAGACAAGGCTACAAAGGATCAATGTTGAAAAGTAATGAACAACTGAGCCCAAGCTTCAACTTTTTAATCAATGCTTTAAGGGCACATTGACAATGATTCCCTAGAGAAAACAGGTGCTCTGACATTTGATTTCCAGCTAGATCAGACAGCTACATTAAAAATGCACAAAAATTCAGCTGGTTTTGTGGCTTTTCTTTGTCTGTTTATTTTAAAGATGAAAGCACTTTAAACTAGAGCAAGGGTTCCAAACAAAAAGTAAGGGCAATCAGCTCTGAAGAGGGAAATGCTGAATTGCTAAATGCACAGAAATGGAGAAGAAAAAAAAAAAAGTATTATAAAAATGTAATAAACAAAACAACTATAAAAAGAAATAGCATAAAGTTCTCTAGGCAAAGATTATTCAAAATGTTTAATCTCCAAGACACAAGAAAAGAAAGGCATTTTTCAAATTTGTCAGCTTTCAAGGCTTGATAATTTATCTTCTTTGAAGTTAAGGCAGATTTTGTCATGGTTATCAGAGGTAGAGGAGATGTCACAAGGAGCCTCCTAGATTTCTGCCACTTCCCCTGTTTGCTCCTTCAGAGTTCTCACAACACAGCCAGATAATCAAAATGACTCACTGCCCTCAGGTTTCATATGCTCCATCACTTCCTCATTACAACCTCCCTCTCAGCTAACATCACACTCACTTCCTGGGAAATGTTTCTTCATATTCTCTCCTTTGGTACTTTCTAATGATAATCCCTTCTTTTTTCAGATATGTGACTATTACTTACTGTAGAATACACATGTCAGGTTGACTTCTAACACTATCCTTGTCTGCACTAACGCAGAAGAAAACTGTCATGAGAAATAAAACCAAATGCCAATCCATGAGTAAAAACCTATCAGTATAAACTCTGAGGTAGCAATGTGTCCAGAAAATATCCCCAAAAGTTCAATAAGAAGTTAATTCCTCCTGTTAGTTCCATGATAGTATGTTACTGATCCTTGATACATTAATGACAAGCACAGAAGATAGCAAAACCTTTAAAAGTGCACAGAAAATTTCAGAGGATACATACCTACTTATATTTATACCAAGTGATGACTACTTATTATCAGCTTCCAGTTTAAATTCTCTAAATGAATGTCTATCAGCTAAAGAAATCCATGATAAAAATCTATTTCCATAGCTGTGTGTAAAGGAGGCTTAAATTTACAATCCTGTTTGATAGCTTTATCTGGTAAAATCTCCTTATTCCTTCTCTCAGCTTAATAGGAATTTTTAGAAAAGCAACACCACAAATATCTCATCAGTGCTCTAATTTTTACAGCTCTAATTTAAACTTTACTCTGCACACCATCTCACCCTTGCTTACTTAATATTCTGTGATAATTTATTATGACTGCTAATTATTTTCAAGATATGTCTACTCCTATCCGAATTCCTACCCATGGATTGAAAAAAAAAAAAAACAAAAACAACAAAAAAAAAAAAAAAAAAAAAACAAAAAAAAACCTGAATGCGAACACAACTTCATTTGCTTAACTTTAGTTTTGAATGCTTGTTTCTAAGCAACTAAAGATACATTTCACTGCTTTAATTGGGAGCAGCAGTTTTAATTGTTCGCTGTAATTGTTGCCGATTCTTTCTGTAACTAAAGCCTAGTTCAATAATAGTACTTGAAATCTCTGTTCACAGAATAGATCCCCACAAGAAAAGTACTTTACACATTTGCAGTACTATATAAACAGCAATTTGGATCGTAGTCAGTAGGCTCCACAAGTTTTTGTTGTGCTTCTTTTCTCTGTGAAATCACAAAAAAGATAACCAGAGACAACAATGAAGCCAACCACAAAAATGGCAGGTTTTGAAAATGACCAAATTTCGACTTTGCTTTCTTCCCTTTATTGCCTCACCATCTTATTTTAATGCTTGGTGGTCCATTTTCACTCAACTACAGGGTGCCACTCTGTATTTCTCTTGCATATTACAAAAAAATAAATAAATTCAGAAAATGCAGAATAATATTGTGCACTGAACTGGTTACTTTGCTTCACAGTGTAACTTTGTTTTTTAATATTCCATGGTCATAATTAAATGCATTTCAGCATATCCTATGTACACATATAAAACTGGCATTAAAAGCCTGTAAACACCTATTAATCATCACTGGTTCTAGGAAGATACCTTCTATAGTGTCCAGTTTGTTCTATGGGAGAATTTAACAAAGCACAGACAGGAGAAATTTTAGCTATATTAAAAATATAACAACATTAAGCACTGTTAAATTTAGCTTGCATTATCTGGAATACTCCCTTTAATGGCTGGATGTGGGTAGCCCAACAGAACTCTTGTTTCAGACTTGAAAATCCTCTTAGCTTGTTCCATAACATGTGAATTCATATACATTACGTTCTTCTGCCAGATTAAATCACGTGTAGATAAAAATCAGAAAGTATTGTGGTTTCTGTGTTTATTAATTACCTGTACTTATTTTAACTTATGTATCTACAATGAATATTTATACGTATCTTATTTAGCAGCCATTGCCACACAGTAATTAGATGACTTGACAAAACGAAAGTGGTTACTGTTTTCAGACAGCCAGCTTGCAGACAGTACTGTATTCCCTGCAACATCAAGACGCAAGGGCTTAGTCTCAGGCCTCGGTCAAGAGTGTAATGGGAACAGGAACACTGATGAGTCAGGGTTCTGGATGTTCATTAAAAATAACACAAGAAAAAAATAATGCTTCTTGTGGTTGTGTTCCTGCTTTTCAGGCATAAAGAGGTATTTTATTCCTTGCTAATGCTGCTGAAGAACAGGACCAGTTGCACCAGTCTACATGGGAAAAGAACCTTTCTGAACAGCTTTGAGTTGGGTTATCATATCAAGGTAAGTCACAAAGCATATTCATAACTTGGAGAAATGTCAAAAAAATGTCACTAGTTTTGCAGTCATCTGCAATTACAATATTGACATTGCCCATACTGCTCTTCTTAGACTCTCAGAAATTGTATTATCACTACAGCTAAATACTTCCCCCATACTATCCTCTACAAGACCAAAATATAAAAAATAAAAAAAAAATATCCAGTATAACCTTTGAGAGATTTTCACATTTTGATACACTTCCACGTGTAAAACGAAACCAGATACCATATTTTTGAAAGTTTCATTAAAGTGAAATAACTAGAAATTTAGCAAGTCAGAGTTAAATTATATCTTTCAATCTTCTCAGTATTATAGATGACATTTGTCTTCGCTGAATTATTATGCAGAGATATAGTCTGTTTGTATCTATATAATATTTAATAATTAATCTTTCCAGATCACCACATCCTTTCGGTTAAGCAGTAGCCAAAGTGGAATGTACAAACAAAATTCCATCTCTATAGTTACTTCCTGTCTCTCTTTCACTTGCAAAGTTTGTAACCACAAAATAAATTTATAGTTCCTCCAGACTATTAGGAATCCAGAAATATTTAGGTATTTAAACAGACGACTGCAGTATTTGCAGTTCCAACAGAGAATAGGAAGCCACAGTCAGACATGTTTGACATAACTCTGTATTCTACAGTTGTCTGAAATCCTCCTTCGAGAGTATTCTGTAAAGAAGACAAATTCTATTTCATCCTCCTGGATCTAAATGTGATGTTCAACATGATTAGTTATTAAGTCACTGTTAAAAGAAACTACAGATGACATTAATTCTCTGTAATGGCTGAAGCAGCTCAGAATGAGACCAGTCAGCTGATATGTGGTAACTTTAGAAGGGAAAAATACATTCATTTCCTCCTGCAGTACCTTCCAGGATATTTAGCAACTTCTTCAGGCTGCTAATCTAATCCTCATGGTCCACTGTATTACTCTCCTCACTTCTTTTTAAATTGAAATTTCATCAAAATATTCTGTCCTTTCTTAATGTGTAAACTTGGTAAATCTGGCTCAATACTACATTTATCTAACAATGAAAGCTCAGATTTGACCATACTTACTCAGGCACCCTATCATGGACTGTAAAAGTCACCACTAAACCTATAACCCTCAGGTTTGTTAGAGAATAAATAGTTACATTAGAATTTATTTTTTACCTTTTTTTTTTTATATATATATATATATATATATATATATATATATA